GTTTAATGCGCAATAAGATGCGTCCCATATCTAATACAGTCAGGTGAGAATTCTATTGTATGGAGTTGGTCACTCACGCCTCATTTCAATGTATTAGGCAAGATTTCGAGGTCTTCAAGAATTTCTTCGGGGTCCATGGACTCAATGGTTTCGAGCACAATTTTGGCGTACAAAAACATGCCTAGATTGAGAGTCAAATCCCCGTTTCCTGTACGGGGGTTATAATGCGGGTTATCGTACCTTTTGCTTTATCAGCCAATGGTGCAAGAAGGCTTCCTATCTCCTTCCGCACTTCTGGGCAGAAATCGCGTTCGTTGTACCATTTCGATGTGTGTTGTGTAATGTATGTATGGATCCCTTCGGTATTGTGTTCATCTATGCGAATGCTTGAGCATTTTCCCTTGAGCGTGCTTCTAATATGGCCTTCTCCTCGTCATCTTATTCATCCTCCTAGTCCCCCACACTCAATCCCACGCCGAGCATCCGTTCGGATCCACATGAGCACCAAGCACTGTAATTGTATTCAAGAGCGCGGGGGGCCGGGGTGGGTCAGGTGGGTGCGGATGTAGGGGTTGATGGGGGGCAGAGGGGACGGATTGTGTGCGCGGGACGGGGCGGGTAGGGGTGGAGGAACCGTGCTTGCTGAGGTGTTTGAAGAATTTTGGGGGAAAGAGGGGCCAGATGGGGGAACGGGGGAGGTGTTTTTTTTGTGTTGGTGTGGGGGATTTGGGGGAGAGGTTTAGAATGCGTAGTGTGGTGGTGGTGGTGGGGATCGGTTTGGTACTGTACACAAGCTGGTTCAGTGCGGGCGGTCTGTACAAAGGCGATCGAGGGCATGTTTTATCAACCTCGGAAATTCTCGTTTGGGATCGGTGTCTTCTGAGAATCCGTTGATTTGGCGCGTGCGATCGATCGCTTTCAGCCACCTGTCCCACATGTCAGAATCAAGGTTGAAAGAAGTGGAAATCCGTGCGGGAAAACTTACTCACTCCTCAAGCACCTTCTCCATCACTCTCCTGGAATAATCTGACATTCTCCTCTCCGGGTCTAGGAATCGGAGACCCGCAAGTATCATCGGTTAGTACCCTCTCCGCCTCCATCTCCCAAACCCCCTCCAGCGTCAATCTCTCGCGATACCCGTGCAACTCGCCCGCAATCGCATGCGTCTGTCTGCGTCTCCGCTTAACATCCCTCTCCATAGCACCCAGCGTATACACAAACTCCGCGTCGTTGAAATCGTGCCGCGTGATGCGCCAGCCCCAGGCTTGTAGGTCGTGCAGGATGGTGCGCTCGTTGGAGTCGGGCTCGATGACTATGTGTGCGTGGATGGGGTTATTAGGGTCGGTTGTGTGCTGGGGCGGGCGGATTAGAAATGGCATTTTGAAGAAATGGGGTAGGTATGGGGGATTTTGATTTGCAAGGAGAAGTTTGTAGGGCTAAGCATGTTTGATGATTATGTGTGTGTGAAAGAGGTACGAAGGCGAACAGTGAATGTGAGACATTGAAGCTATGTGCTTCGCGCGACGGGAGCGCTGTCACTTTTGAGGATTGAAGTTTGGGCGCTGTCAACTTTTTTTCATCCAAAGTTCTATGATATCGGGTATCATGTATTCGACTTTTTCGCGTTTGTTGCCGCCTTGTGCTGGCACTCCGTCTTCGCTTTCCGGACCCGGCCACTTCATAGAGAGGTTCCTTCGCTGCCATTCACTTCTTCCTACTTCGACGCGTCACCCCTTGGTACATGGCGCTGTCCCTCGGAGGTGCTGCGTTTGCCGCGACGGGAGCATCGTATGGGCGGAAGCGGAGCGTCGCCCTTGACCAGCAGCCTGCAGATGGTGTAAGTAGATGAGAAGAAACACTTCTAGCTTGTCTGTGCGTCTGGGACAGATGAATATGTTCAGGGAGATGATGAAGTTTGTGTGTTCTGGCAGGGCTCAGAACCATATCTTGATCAGCTCTTCCGAGACAGCGGACGGTGTGAGGACACCAGACTCGGTGATGATACCAGAGATCAGGTCGGGAGGCTGGGGTGCTGTCAGAAAGCGTTCAATGCAAAGTAGTCGTAACAAAACATACGGTAAAGTCGACAGCATCATGGGGTTTTGATCCCCAGTCCTGATATTTGGAGTCCATGTCGGCAATGGCCTCGTCGAATGGGTTCTTCTGCTCCGCATCCTTGGCAGCATCTTTGCTAGCTTGCTCGTCGGTCTTGAAATCAAGGACCTTTTGCTCGATGGGCAGGTCAAATTGGCTGAGGGGATACAGGCGCACAAACTTGTGACTCTCGGCAACGACGTAGAATGGCTTTCCCTTGCTCTTGGCCAGTATGCCCATCTGGTACGTGCCCATGCGCGAGATGATGCCGCCGTTTTCTACGACTCCCTCGGCTCCCACGATGACCATGTCGACCTTGCCCAACGAGTATGCGACAGCCGAGTCCTGGATGGCTGCGACGGGGATGTTGTTGGCGCGGAGGTCGGCAACGGTCTGGTGGCCCTCTTTCAGATCGGAGGAGCCTTGGGGCGGCAGTACGTAGACGACCCTGAAGCGGATGGTGCTCGACTCGGCGGCCCTCCTCAGCAACGCGCCCACGACTCGCGATCCACCATTCGTGAGGACAGTAGCCCCGTCGCGGATGAAATGCTTGCCGAAGCTCGCAATCTTCTCTCTGCTCTGCTTGGCGCGCTCCACGAAGAGCTTGCCGTTGGACAGCAGGTGGTTGCGAATTGCGCGGAAGTCATCGTCGGGGCCCAGGTTCAGGCTCGCGGGGCGGTTGAGGGTTGTGATGAGGTATCGCTGGAACAGGTCGGTACCGGCGGAGAGAGAGATTGGGTTTGCGATCGAGGCCTTCAGGGCAGCAGTATGACGCTCTAGCAATGCAAGTGTTTCGGCGACGGTCGACACGGAGCTCTGCGCAATCGCTTCGACAAGGGCCTCAATGGCGGCAACCGGCATGGTCAGCTCGGGGTCATCTTTGAGGATTCGGCGGTAGGTCGCGACAATGTCGAACTCCGGCAGAGGTTTGGTCTCGGTTGCAGCGCTCATCTCGGCGGTATATGTCGTGAAGATGTCGTTCGCGGGGCATCACGAAGCTTTAGAGGGGTTCAAGGAATCTTTGGCATTGAGTCATTCGCCAAGACTGACGACCTTCGCTTCCGACAACGACCTCTTCTGCCTCTATACACCGTGACATGTCATCCTGCAAATGGGCTTAACCTACGTTGCCCATGCCCCTCACCCTCATGCTTTCGTGAGCTCGTGCCTGAATCTGGCCAGACGCGTGAGTCGGAAGGCCCGGCGACTTGCTTGGTCATACCACTTTTGCTGCAGCATTCGCACCAGTTGTATATCAACTCAGGCGAATACATCCTTGATCTGCAGCTTACTTGCAATGGCTCGAAACCAGACAATGCGTGAAGCTTCACCCCGCCAACTTGGCTCTTTCCCACCGCGTCGCACGAGCCTTCCTCAAACATCGGGGACCCGTCGCGTTGGACCGCCACGAGCGCCACAGCCATCACAACTATTTTCCTTTCTCACATGGTCAATCTCCTCTCTCTCACTCGCTACTTTCAAATCTCTTACAGTGAAGCGGACTAGGCGAAGCGTGCGTCAATCGCGACTCCACATTGGCCTAGCGTCCATCGTCACACATACACTGTCAACATTCCGCCCTCGTTCCCCGTTCACGTGTTCCTCAACCAAACATTTGAATTTTCACTACAAGCAAAAAGCTTCTCGCTTTTCTAAAATCAAGTCCTGAGCATATTCAGAGCTGAACTGTACAACAAAAGCACCCCAACGATGCCTTACATAATCTACGTGCCAGGCTGCCCTCGCCCGTACATCACAAATGACCCGAGGATCTACATTGACGCCAAAGAATGCTTCAAATGGCCCGCTGAATCGCGCCTGTACGCCGACGCCGAATGCAAGATGATTCGCAAGGAAGAGGGCGAGAGGTTCCACGGTGAACGAAGAGCGGCGCGACTGGAGCAATACTGGCTTGAGGAGCTTGCGCGACGCAAGAAGTCTGTGGAGACTGGCCCGACCAAGATCGTTGAAAGCACTATCAAGCATGCGAAGAATGACTCGGTTCATAACGTAGTCGTGGAAGTGAAGGAACTGGAACCTCGGGAGGGCGACCTGCTTGCGTAGTCGGAAAAGCTTTGGAGAAGGGACGATGCTATGCGTTCGTTCTCCAACGGAAGGCCCCCTTGTTGCCGCTTCGCACGATGAACGACCTCGTCACTTCCCAACCAGTGCGCAGAAGCAATGAGTCTTTACATTCATCCCCGTTTATGTTTTGTCATATTTACATCTATCATAACACCCGTGAGGTACTCCCGACCGACATATCGTTATCCCCCTTTACATCACTATCGCAACAAATCGTCGGCACCGCATTCGCTTCGAGATGTCGAACTCTTTTCTAGGACGGTCCCGCCCACTGTTAAATGACGACTTGATCAAATGGGCATCCGATGGCTTTCCGTCTGATAAGCTATGGAACGCACCGGTGGATACCATTGTGGACACAGCCTACGAATTCATCGAATTTCGGGACCTGACGTTGCACCGCATGAAAGTCCTCAATCAGACTATCCAATGTCTTCCGGGCACTGCGGATGACAACCCACACATGCAGGCCGTCCAGATCTCACACACGGCGCGCCTCCACCTAGCCACTCTTATCATGCGCTTTAGCGTAGGTACCACCATTCTCTCTAGATTGCACAGTCAGCTGACAGATGCAAGACGCTTTCCACCAACATGAGCTCCCAAGAACTTCAAGCGTACTACTTACTCGAAAGCATGCGAAGGTATCCCTTCTCTGAAACTAGAGAAGCGATACGACTTACAGGCTACTGTCTTGTCGATATCGTAGAATATTGTATGTTCCATAATTCCATGGGCTCGAAAACACTTCCTGTCTAATACATACCTACGACTAGTCTTTCGGTTGGGCAATTCGCGTGAGCATCCTCTCGACTCTAACAAGATCATGAAACTGGCTAGTAGTATTATTTCCCGATCTTTGGATGAGATCCGCACAAACGAACAAGAGATGTACGAGACGTACCTACGGGCTTGGGAGCTCCTTCGAAGGGCAGAAGATTGGTGAGCCTATGCAGCCTCTGGTGAGAACAGAAGCAGCTAACGAGCACATTGCAGGATCAACAGGAACAAATGTCGTCGACCGCCACCCATCATGGTACCTCTCACCGCGGAAAAGAGTACAGAGCCCGTCCCGGATGCCTTTGGTTACGAGTCATATATCTACGGGAAGACAGTGGAGCTCGTTGAGCAACCACCGAGAGACCCAGAACAACCGATGGGTGCGGACCATACTGTACCGTGGTCAAGCGACCAGAAGATCATATGCGACCTCGTCAAGAAGCTCGAGGATATTCGGCGATGTGAGGATACTGGTGCGCGGTCCGTGGAACCAACAGATGCCAACTCACGGCCAGACATACCAGCAGACGTTGCAGCATCGGCCAACACGGCGCTTGCACAGGCAGTACCAGTTTCAAACGATGCTACTCCGGCCCTTGAATCTTACCCGACCATTGAATCTGATCCGGGTGCCTCAACAGACCGTGAGAGTACCGCAAGTCCTTTGGCGGTAGTCCAGCCCCCCCTCCACGCAGAAAAGGTCGGCGCAGAATTGTCAGTCAAGACGAAAAAGGCCAAGAGAAAAAAGGCCAAGGCAAAAAGGGCCAAGGCCAAAAAGGTCGAGGCAGAAAATGCCGCGACAGAAGAGGTCGATACTGCACAGTCCGGCGCAAAAAAGGGTGCTTGTATCCCCAGTGATCCTTCCGAAGAACAATACCGCTCTAAGCCTGAGCATGGCTCTTGGGCTGATACCATGCAAGCCAAAGCCGACGCAGCACCAAATACAACACCTGAGCGTCCACAAAACAAGCAATCAAAAAAGGATGCTCCTAGCACCACAGATCCTTTCGAAGAACACTACGGCTCCTCCAAGGCTGAGCATGGCTCTTGGGCTGATGCTATGCGAGCTGAAATCGAGTCTGTCGTCATTGGTGCAAAGGGATGGGAGACCGATTGGGCGAGGGAGGACGCGAAAGGAAAAAGGAAGGCGTCGCGGATTATTAGTAGGAGGTGAGAAGGTGAAGGAGAGGGCTGGTCATAGTGTTCGAAACTGCTGGAACAAAAGTCATCAAGAGGCCCAGCTCTGGAACACATCCTTGTCCATGCACCATAAATTCCCGACTTCAAAATAAAGTTTCGACAAGTCCCCCCGTGACGAGTGCTAGGACAATATTCCCCATTACCACTTTACCATCCCTTAGCACATATGCACCACAGCGGATCCCTACTTCGTCACTGTTGACGTGCGCCAACACATCTAGAACTTTTGCGGCGTCCAGAAAATTGGGTATCCATCGCATGTGGTTGTGGCAGCCCCCAGATTTTCATGAGGTTTGCGCATCGGGCCGAGCAGGGATGGCGGATGACAGGCGTGACGTCATTGGGCGAATGGGTTTGGGCTTTTGGGTTTCTACTCATTCACCGCCTACATTATGAACAAAACCTGAGAAGCAAAAAGACATGCAGTATACTGAGAGAGAAAAAAACTCAAGGTGGGGGATGTCTCTACAATCAGCGACGTCACATCAACGCTGAACATATGCCAAGTACCTGCTCAAAACCATAACTTTTCTTCTTTGCTGCCGATCAACCGTCGTCAATCCGACCTACCCGTCTTAGTGTCTCCACCGCAAGACCACCCAACCAACAAGCGCTCGATAAGCGTGAAACCAGTGCGCTGAGACCACCAATGACGACCCGGTCATATGAAGGACGATGGGCTCGCGTGGTTATCTTGGGTTCTTAACGGGGGGTCGATCTCTTGCCGCTTTCTGATATATTACTTATTACTGCAGCTGGAAAGTTTGGCGGCGATGTTTCCAGAGTCTTTTGTTGATGTGAGTTTGCTTGCGAGTCTACGTGCGGTTGAGTTCGCATGGTTTTTGTTTTCGAGTGCGTGACTGCGTTGCTGAGGGACAAAGATGAGAATGACGGAGAGAAAACCTTACAAGTTCCAGGATGAGGAGGAGAGGCCGCCGATGACGGTGGGTTTGAGGGATCGGATTGCTCATTTTACTTGGTGAGTCTGCCAGCTATCAGAGGAACGTAGAGATACTGATGAGAACACTCAGGCCATGGTTCTCCGCAACCATGTCCACCGGAGCTCTCGCCGTCGTCCTGGGAAACTCACCAAACACATTCACCGGCCTTCAAACCATCGGTAAAATCGTCTTCATCTTCGACATCATCCTGTTCCTCCTCTTCACAGCCCTCATGATCACGCGCTTCTGCCTCGTGCCACGGAAACTCATGGCCTCGCTGCACCACCCCGTCGAAGGACTCTTCCACGGCACATACTGGGTGTCCGTCGCACTAATCCTCAACTGCGCGTATCTCTACGGCCACAGCGAAACAGGCACCTGGCTCACCAAAGCCCTGCGCGTGTGCTTCTGGATATACTGCGCCATCGCCTTCTCCGTGTCCATTCTGCAATACAGCATGTTTTTCCGCCTCGAGCGGCTAAACGTCACCGACGCCGTGCCTGCCTGGATTTTCCCCATCTACCCTTTACTCGTCGTGGGCACGTTGGCCGGCACGATTCTCCCCTCCCAGCCAGATTCCGCCAGCTGGCAGATTTTCATCGGCGGCATATGTTTCCAAGGTCTCGCGTGGCTGATTAGTTTCCTCATGTACGCCATCTACATGCAGCGCCTTATGACGTCCCAGCTCCCTTCCCCGACCGTCCGGCCGGGCATGTATGTCTCGGTAGGGCCCGCAGGTACGCTCTCATGTCAAAGACCCCGTTATCTAACACGCTGATTCTAGTTTGCAGGATACACGGCCGCGGGACTTTTTTCGCTGGCTAAGCAGGCCCCGCGCCTCATTCCGCCGGATTACTTCACCGATACAACTGTCCCTGATGGCGAAATTGTGAAGATCATGGGTATCATGGCGGGGTTGTTTATTGTGCTTTTTGCGTACTGGTTCTTTTTCATCACGACGGTTACCATCATCTCCGGCCTCATCAGTAAGAAAATGTCCTTTTCGCTGAATTGGTGGGCATTCATCTTCCCCAACGCGGGCCTCACGCTCGCGACGATCCAGGCGGGGAGTGCGCTCAAGAGCAGCGCGATTGATGGCGTGGCTAGCGGGTTGACGGTCATGCTGGTGGTGTTGTGGTTTGTCACGGCATCGTTTTGCGTGCGCGCTTTGTGGCAGGGGGATGTCATGTGGCCGGGGAAAGATGAGGATAAGTCGATGGAGAGGCTGGCGTGGGGGTGGAGGGGGAACAGGACGAATCCGAACGCGAAGCATTTACGGCGGATTCCTACGGATCAGCTGCCCTAGGAGGGAAAACATCGTGGTTTGAATGGGCATTTCTGGGCGTTGAAGCGTTTAAGCGTTGTTTCGTGCTTTGGAAAAGTATACCACAATATCCTTTTATACAATATTTAATCGCTGTACAGACTACGGAACAGCATGCTCGATCTCAGATCTCAGATTCCCATGTCCAACTCAATTCCCAACGGCCTGTGGATTCCAAAATACCTTCTTTGGATCAACCTTCTCTTTCAACCCCAGCAATTTCTCATACGTCTCTTTCCCAAAATACAGCCGATGCGCCTCCGCCGGACTCAACTCTGGATCCAGATAATTCGGATACGCCAAAAACTCGCCTCCAGGCTGCGCATCCGTAAGCGCCGCATTCAAGCCATTCACATAAGCCTTGATATCCGGCGAGAAAGGCGGCAGCATATTCGCCGACGAGCCAATGTTCTACGCATCATGTCGTTAGTTTGCATTTCCAAGTTGAAGAGGGCCAAAGGAGGGGAAGAAATAACATACCTGAAAAACCCACAAACTATCCCTCAATCCAAATGCCGCGTCCCCAACATCCGGCACATTGATCTGACTATCTCGTCCACCGTAAAGACTGATGTAACTTCCAAACGGCACCTTGCCCAACCCCCTCCCCACTTCCGCGAAGAAACTCTCCAGCGCGGCTCTCGTGAGTGGCTCCGCCTCGCGCGTCACCACTGACTTGGTGTAAAACGTCTGGTGGTTGTGATACCCACTCAGTGGCTCAGCCAGCGGTTCGCCTTCCGCGATGTCATTGAGCGCATCGAGCCAGCCGCGTGTGCGGATCGTCGTGTTATCTGGCACAGGAAGTGTGGACAACATAGCCGGTAGAACAGTGCGCGTGAAGTGATCTTCTTCGCCGAAGAACCACCCTCTTACTTCAAACTTTCCGTACACACTCATGTATACTTCAAGCGTGATGTCTCGGTTCATCAGCGGCGACGTCAGCGCGAAGGATTGCAGTTGCAGGAGTATCGACGACGCAGCAGATGAGGCGTTAAGCTGTGAAGAGAATGTCGCGACGTAACTGGTGACGGAAACAGGCGCGGGCGAGGTTTGCAGGTAGAAGGTTGTGATGATGCCGAAACTATCCGCCGCGCCGCGCAGGGCGAAGAACATGTCTGCGTGGCTGGTGCGTGAGGTGTGGATCTGGGTGCCGTTGGAGAGGACGACGTCCATTGCGAGTATCGTGTCGAGAGCAAGACCTGTTCACCTTCTAATAAGTATATTGGAGTAAGGCGGGGGTCAGTGGGTTTCACTCACCCCACTTCCTCGACGAATACCCAAAGCCGCCGTGCGTGTAGTGTCCGCCGATACCTACACCGGGAAACGTCCCATGAGGGAGGGCGGCGTGGCCTTGGTTGAATACTGCGAGACCGAGGTTTCCGAGGCGGACACCTGAGCCGACTTTTATGATGTTGGTTGCTTTGGGGTAGGTCAGTGTGTTTTCTATAGAACAAACATGAAACTTACATTTATCCAGAGTGATCTCGTTGAACTTTTGCAGATCGACGACCAAGCTACCGTTCTTCCCACCGAGAGAGTAACTGCCGTATGAATGTCCTCCAGATCGCGGCTGGACTTTGATACCAGATGCAGCGGCGCATGTTATGGAGTCGGAGACATGTTCAGGTGTGGTGGGGATGGTAACTGCAACAGGGGTATACTGAAGGCGAAGGTTGTATGCGGTAGTGAGAGAATTCCAGTCAGAAGAAGAGTTCAGAGTAGTCGGAACGCCTTTGGATATCAGACAGTCTTGTAGTGTTTGGTATTGTTGAGCGATTGAGTGGTCGATGGAGTGACCGAGGACTCTTGACACTATCAAGACGAGTACAAGAGGACAGACCATCTTTGAGAATATTAAGAATGGTTTCCTCCGAATAAAAGTTTCAAGACGTTTATACTGAGTCTTTAGAATGGTGCGTGTAGTCGGTCCGTCCGCCGCATGCCAAGGCTCCCGAGCATCCGACTCTAGGGGACAGCAGTACGACCTCGTTTAGATTCGATTCGTACAATGAACTGTCTTTGAGGTGGTGAAGTGTTCCTGCTGTGACGTGGGCTTCTCCAAGTCCCATGTCAAAGTAAGCCTACACGTACTCGCACTTCAGTCAGACGGCTTGCAACAGGCTTTTATCCTGCCAGGAAAACTTCCAAGTATTCCAGAGCGGCATAACTTGCGAGGAAAGCCAGCGAAGAAGAGTTCGTGAGCATTTCGACTCATCGTGAAATGCTGTGTGATCATCAAACTGACAGGGAATGTGGGATCTCGCAAGCTCATCCGCATTTGACCAGGCACACCCTCTCCAGATGAAATCATTGGGGCTGAGACGGGACTCCACTCCCAATGCCTATTCGCTCTTACAGCAGATTTGTATGTGAAAGGAAGTTGCAGACACCGTGTATCCTTCTGCAAACCTTGGGTTTGGCTACCCTGGTACTACCTGCCAATGTGCCCACGTGACATGAGCACCTCCAATGTTACATTCCCGAGGTATCGTCGTACAGCTTTTGATTCCTAGCACATCACGCACTCACCTTCAAGCCTCTCATCTCGTGACCAGCCATCATCTTATCCTGACAATCCAACATCCACCATGGACATGGTCCCAATACGCAGGTGCGATGTAATCGGAACAGCACTACCAGCATTCTACCGCATGCAGCATGCAGATTCCTTCACCCAATACGACGAAGAGGGCTTCTTTTCTAACGCCACCTGCTCAATGAGATACTCCTAATGGGTCAACAAGACCAGATTCGAGAGCTATCTGGACCGAAAGGCGAGGCCAAGCGATTTCACCCCATACATATCTCTATTCGACAACCTCGAGGAGGCACAGACGGAAGGTCTTTCATGAAAGCCAGGGATGTCCCGACGTATTTATAGCGAAGATCCAACCATCGGAACTGTACATGATTTCTGATTCGTTGATGTCGAGCGTGGTGATCTCAGGTCTGAGTAGTTCGCAGTGGACACTATGCCTGCTAGTATGGTGATTATAATCTGAGTCAGCTCAAATTAGATGGGAAGATCAATCAGAATGGAAGAGAGATATGTCAGCCAACCACAGGATGTATCGCGTTCAATCATCCCGAGGCCGTGAACTTGCTTCCAGAACAGCTCGCACAACCACCCTTTACTGACTTCAAGATCACGCAAATCTCGCACGACATGAGCGCTACCAACCCAGCCCACAGTCGAGGTTCTGCTCAGCACCAATCACGCAATATTCCACCTAGTTGGATCGAAATGCTCGTCATGCACAGTCCCTACAAGAACTCACACTGCTCTTCATCCCACTCTTGCGTTCTCTGTACCACATATCCCGCATCAAATCACGACACAACCACCTTACAGTCCATACAACCCATCATATCATCTTGGCACGAAGCCGTCGCGGTGACTGACACACATTGTTTCGGATCAGCGCGAGACATGGAGCCTCAGACATGCACGGTAGCAAACCAACCCGGTACTACCACACCATCCAAAAAACCTCAAGACGATCGCACAAAAGAACGCGCGGCGCTGTGCGAGACCTATCTTCAGCTCTGAGACATCGGTGTTGGAAGTTCCGATGGTCGATGGGAGAAGTTTGGTTGCGCAGGAAATGGCGTCGTTCGGCTGTAAACCGCTTTGTCTTTACTAGGGACGCTACTGATAACGTGCGTCCGAAGAACGATGGCATGATCCCGAACTAAAACGAAAGAGGGAGGTCCTGTGACGATGCTGGTCCGACCGAGCTTTTTCTTTCATTTCTGGGGTACATTGGCATGGCTTCTTGGTAGCATGCATCATGTGAGTCTCGGCTGCGAGCGGAGCGGCTTGGGATCCCAAGGCTTTCCGCCTCGCACCAAGGAGCCAAACGTAATCGATTAACCAGGAAGCGATGTGGAGAGCTGAGCGTGGTCGAAAAGTAAATTTTCGCACGCGTGAAACGCACTGCTGGGTGTCTTCCTGGAGCAAAGTTGTCGCTCGCTCCGCGGTGGGTTTCGCAGCGTCGACCGATCGATCACGCCGTCAGCTAGGTCGCGCACATGATTACTTGTTTCCCCCATGCACTACATCGAGCTTTCTTGCTATCGTGAACTTTGCGTCGTCTTACTCGCTTCACCCGTGTGTCGGACCAACACTTCCTGCCTGCATGCATACAAGCTGCAGGAAACGTGTTCCACAAACGGCAAAAGTGGCCCATGGAATCGTGTGGAATCTTTTTTGCCGGTCAGTATTTCGGGCTGGGCATTGTGGCCTGCCTAGAGTTTGCCCAGGCTGCAAGCGGGTGCGAGAGCTCCCCACCTCCGTCATCGTGAACGATGCGCGAGTCGAGGGTGGTGAAGGCGAAGGGCGAGTATATACCTATTCCATCGAGATGGGATCGAGGACAGCTGGAGATAAGACAAAGCGAGGACTCGCGACGGCGTTACTGTGCTCTCCGCATCGTGTCATCCGAACTATCGAAGTTTATAATAGTGATGGCACTTATGCATCCATAACCTCGCTCTCGCAAACCCCGATGCCTCCGATCCCAACGCCCTCTCCTCGCTCTGATTCGGCCCACCAAAACGCGCGGCACCACTGCCGTCTTATCCGGGCCTTCTCTGCGCCAATCACTACGCGTCTTGGGTCCTTAGCTCCCTCTCCTCTCCGCTCGGCCAAGGGTGCAAGCCGAGCGCGGCGTTAGTCTTTATTGCCAGCGGAGTCTAGACCCGCGCTATGCTTATCGTTGTGCAAGGGAGGCGCTGCCGTTTGCAGCCTTGATTGGGCGTGCGCGTGTCGGGGATAGGGTTTGGAGTGTGGAGCTGGGGTTTGGGACGTGGGTATGGGATTTGGTGGGAGAGAGAGGGGAGGGTGGGAGAGTGGTATATAGGGTTGGTGGATCCCCCAGGTTTTTGGTGGTAGAATCAGAACAATCACGATAGAATCGATCAAGTCATTCGTTCTATACATCTACATACCACACTTAATCTAAGTCATACATCAAACGACTACTACAACTACAATGTCTTCCCCAGCTACCCAATACGTCTACATCCCCAACCTCGTGGGCCGCCAAATGCTCCGCATCCCCCTCGACGAAGTCGAGGCTGAGGGCCAGATCAACATCTCCTCCACGGCGCAAAACACCACATACTCGCCTCCGGCACGAAACTCGTCGCCCTCGCCCAGCGTCTCCAGCATCGAGGAGTCCGAGTGATGAGCTACCCCACCAAGGGATGACGAGCCAACAACGAGGGAGAAGGATGACGAACGATGTACAGACGCCCTGCATAGGGAAACACTGCACTGGAACAAGCCTCGAGACGAGTCTGTGGAGAAACTCTACTGCCATGACATCATACCTAGCTCGGACTGCTGAGCCGCGAGGGAGGATCGTTAGTCTACCACATGAGCGGTGAAGCCCCTCAGATCCTCTTGTCCCTCACACGTGGGATAAGGAGATCGGAATGACGCGATTTGTGGAGAAGAGGGAAAGCTTGGCGGGAAAGAATTGTTCAAAGGGATCTTTTCTGAAAACGGAAATTTTTCTATTCGGTTCTATTGTGGGGAAGTTTTGGTTGGAAGATGATGCTTTATACCCACAGCTGCGGATTCTTTATGCTGCGCTACGATAGTAATGATTAATGAAAGCTTTGTGTAACCTACGTGTTCGTGTGCTGTTATCGTGGTGCATTTCGTGATTGGTGTGTGGTTTTTTGGGCTCGGTGTCGCGTGCAATCTTCTGTCCCGACGATCTGGAGGCTGCTGCATTTAACTGCTTCTAAGCTCATGGACGGTTTCTATCGTCTGCAAACGACACATTCTGCACTACATCTCAACCACCCCAACGGATCGTGTCCGGTCGGGAACCACTCGGATGCATCCGCGCGACCCACATGTCCCGACATTCCCTCGCTTTGTGTATCTGCAGTAGTTCGCGCCTGATGGTCATCGAACGTACAGACGAAGGGATCGGTACTCCTAAAATGCGACGATGATCCAGATGATAAGCATGAGCGTGTCGTGGCTGCCTATTGAGCCAGTGTGACGTGGGCGGGCGGTCAATTTGGCAGGATCGCTGGGGCTCGAAAGCGCAGTTGGAATCGAGGTGTTGAACGCAGCGAGGCGGTATGCGGGGTGGAGGGCGTGGGATTATGTCAGTACAATGGTGATCATTTCTTGCGGATGTATTTCGCTTTGTATCTCGATTTCACTGGCGAGGGTACGCTGACCTGCGAAGTCAGGCTGGGTAATCGATGAGTCCAACCTGGTTCTGTATGACAAATGTGTCCAAAGCGATGATGAGTTTGGATCCAAGCTGTGTAGTGCGATATATGAGTCGGGTTGGTATTGAAGATGAGGTTGATAGCTTGATGAATTTGATCACAGCGAGATGCGTGCCCGCACTCGGCATGTCCTACCTTGAGCATCAACTTCTTCAACCCAAGCCCCAAAGCCGCACAATGCAGCTCTCACAAGCGCCTGCGATGATCGAAGTAATTCCGATGTTGAAGCACGTTACTTGTCCAATATGATCATCGAGGCGTGTGGTGGAGTGATGGACTAGTAATAAATTTAATACAAGTCCACGCATCTCCGTTTTGTGACGTCTCAAGAGTGACGGAGGCGCAAAAATAATTGGATGATGGTGTACGATGTCAAGCATCGGTGTGGGCTACCTCCGAGACTCCATCTCGGCGCTCTCTTGGACAACTTCAACGCCAAACTTCCAAGATATACTTGAGGCATTTACACACGTATATTTTTGTTTATACTCGTCAAGATGTCCGTAGACGTACGACTTATTATGTCGCATTGTCGTGAGTGTATGGCGTGACGTTAGCTGCTCTCCGGATTTTGCATTGAATAGATGCGGCTCGATGGGTGGTAACAAGGACACCCTTCACCAGGTCTTGTGTATACGTCCCTGCAACGCTTCATATGTCGGCTTCACTCTCTGGGCAAACGAGGTGAATGACTGCGAATTCCATTTGTTGCTGTCGTGGCTGTCAACTTGAACGTTAGCGCATACTTGGTTCACACGTTGCAAGTCGGAGATATATCATACCACGGCTTGATCCATGCACCTTGACGACAACCATGGGTGCTCACTTATCGCTGATATACGGCGGCCAAGACGCGCCTGCAGATGTGTCAACTCAACCACTCCAGTGCCTTGGACGACTTAGCAAGAAGACGTATCGCTGTAATAGCAGAGGGCAAAATGTATACAAAACTTCACGTGCAAGCGTTTCACACACGAGCGCCTCGTAGGATCCTTGGCGACAGAGCCTCTTGAATTTACCAGAAGAGGTCCGGAAGCAGGTGTATGCTGGGCTGCTATTTCTCGATGTCGAGGTACGGATAACTCCAACGCATGTAACCAAGGTGCCAGGATTGGTGTTATTGCAAACATGCAAGCAGCAGCACAACGAGGTGGCGGCCTTGTTCTACTCCAGGAACACCTTCTCGTGTGTAGTGGCGACGATTGTGCCAGCACAGAAGACTTCGATAGAAGATCCTCAATATCCATCTATCGAATCAGCAATCGACAGTCACACGCTGCATGATCCCCTCAACATCTCAGATGGCATCTTCTTCCCAGCCCCTCGATACCACACATACCTCACCCACCTAGTCATCCGGCTCGATATGACAATCGCACATTTCGACCTCTCGTCATGCTCAACAATACCAGCCTTCACAACACCCGGGCTCGAAACCGGCCTCACGCGAGTTGAGATGGAAGCAATGCACCACGCCCTCCAACACAAAGTGCGGTGTGTGTTGCAGCGCATGAAGCGATTATGGCCCGGGAGGGCTGGGAGGGCTGGGAGGTGGAGCGGAAAGCTCGTCATACCCTCACGAACAAGCTGGACCAAGACGCAGGTGTACGAAATAGAGTTCACGATGGTATAGGCAGTGGTTGTTGTTGGGCGGAAGATGCGGAAGTCAAGGCGCTAGCAGAATGCGATGTGAGGTATGAGGCTCTGCTGGCTGCGTCACGTCCGTGCGAGGATGACAGTTAGTAGGACTAGAGACGGAGGTCTAGATTTGATTCAGCGCGACACCAGGCGACGATGCCAATTTCTCTCGTGATGGACGTCGACGTATAGCATCATAGTTTCTTGCTAGCAACGGAAACGGCGGCTGTGAGGACTTGGCGACGGGTGCAAACAAGAAACCTCCCTGTTGAGCGCCGTGTCAGTAGGCAAAGACTTGGCGGACGTGTGGGCAAGATGTTTTGGTGTTTTCTTCGAAGGTGCTGAGGCTGAAACGGCGGTAACAGCACCTGAAGGACGAGGCTGGTGGGAGGCAGGAACGGCGGTCGGACCAGCCATTTTGTGTGTGTATGACGTTTAAGGTTTGTCCAGTCAGCTGGTGGATCGAGACCCTGTCTAAGTTTATCCCAAGTGAATCCAAAAATCCAAATCCACCCCCTGGTGGGTTCTGCTGTGACGCTCAGCGCTTGTGGGCGGCGAATGACGAGGGCTGGGCAATATATACAAGCCCTTTGCACACGGCGGCTTGTCGGACCAATACGCATGGATCAGCAGGGACGCGGGCGTTGAGGCTGAATGCGAGGCCAGTGGCTGCACCCGATTCCGAAACGTTGCAGCTGGCCGGCGCCTCTGCTGACGACTGTAAATCTGCGTAGTGAGACCGCGCTGTGTCACGGCACCCTTCAGCTCGAGCTGGTCGCGGTGCGCGATGCAGAGTCGATGATGGTGTTGCGATAGTCTGCGGCTGCGAATCCTGCGAGAATCAAGCTTCGTGCTCCTTCGATCTGCACGCTACATGCAGCTGTATATCTATATTGGCCTCTTCCATCGTTAGTCCGCAGATCCGAGGCGCCACCAGTATTCCTGGGGCCCAAAGCGGAGCCACAAGGGAGCACAAGACGCCGCGATAAGTGCCAGCAGCAGTGAATAGCACGGTGTCGAGCAACGGGCGCCTGTCAATGGCAGCAGCAGGCCGAAGGCGCAGACAGGCCCTGATCTTGATGTCATGCGCGTCGCAAGTGTGGTAAGGGCGAGCCGCGACTTCCCGCCGAACATCCCGCAGCTTCCACATTTGCGCGACGGCTCCACTCCGGGTGACGCATGTGCTGCAAAACTTGTTGACTTTCTGGGCCCTGAGTCCTGATAGCCCTGCCGCTCCGGCCATCTATCACTGACACCCCCAGCCATTGTCCGCCCTCTGCCTTTCACTCCCGATTTCTTTATCCCGCCTTTGTCCCGCCCTCGCACTCGCTGATACTGTATCCTGGGCCCGTAGTCTTTTCCCCCTGTCGCTGCTGCTGCCAACTATCCCAACTGTCCCAACTGTCCCAACTATCCCAACTATCCCAACACCACCCATCCTAGCTTAACCATCCGTTGCACTGCATTGCGTGGCCACTGCACCCGCGCACCTGCACCTCGAGCTGTGCACCACAACACCACACCGCGACCATGTACCGCTCGTTATCTGCCAGTACTAGCATAGCAGCTCTGCTCACGTTGCCCACTGCCCTCGCCCAGAGCTTAACAATTGCACTCGGCACCAATGCCCCCTCTGGCTCCTCCGACTACATCGACCCGTCGTTTGCGGGCTTTGGCATTGAGCCCTCCAACCTGTTCTCCTTCATGGGCGGCGACACTGTCAACGCCTTCTCCATCCAGCTGCTGCAGAACCTGGCCGACTACTCGGGCGCGCCGCCGCACATCCGGTTAGGAGGCAACACCCAGGACTACATGGTGTGGAACGCGAGCAAGCAGGAGCACCGATGGACTGCGAACAAGAACTCCAAGGCCCAGGGCGCCATCGCCGCCGACTCCATGATCATCGGCCCGGGCTATGTCAACGCGCTCGACCGCCTGCCCAAGGATACGCCCGTCACCTTTGGCCTGAACATGGCCTACATGGACGACGACTGGGCGGACCACATTGTCGCCATTGCGCAGGGAGCTGTCGACAATCTCAAGAACACAAAGCTGTACTCGTTTGAAGTCGGCAACGAGCCCGATCTGTGGCTGCAAAACGCCTTCAGGAGTGCTGGCTGGTCCGGCAAGGTCTACACGCAGCAGTGGCTCGACCGCTGCGAAGTCATCTGCGAACGCGTTCTCAAGCCCGCTAACCTGCCCTGCGCCTTCTTCGAGCCCCCAGCGACCGCCTCGACCATCGGCACGACGTTTGAGATCTCGCAGCTCGTTGACGATGGCATCATGGAGGGTCGCAATGGCGACAACTACATGACCACATGGAACCAGCACGACTACTTCTACTGTATGTCACTTTCATCCATCAGATTAATCAATGCTAACTCGTTCTAGTCATCGGAGTGACCCCCACCCCCATTACCCAAGACGACCTGATGGACATGGACCAGACTGACACGCAGTTCACCTACTGGGCCAAGCAGGTCCAAGTTGCCCTCAAGACCGGCCTGCCCTATGTCCTGCGAGAGATGAGCTCCGTCGGCCCCATTGGAATGGCTGGCGTCAGTGACACATTTGGTGCTTCCCTATGGACCCTTAACTTCTTCCTCTATGCGGCCTCCCTTGGTATCTCATCCGTGCAGATGCACATGACCGACAACTCCAACGCCTCCGCATGGCAGCCCATTCCCATGTACGGCCACGACACCTCGTTCGTACGTCCGCAGTACTACGCACATGCCGCTGTCGCCCAGCTCATCGGCAACGGCAACGGCACCACGCAGGTGTCTGCCCTCAAGACCAACCCCGAGTCGGCCTACAAGGGACGCATCCGGATGTACGCAACCTACGCCAACGACAAGCTCCAGGCCGTCGTCATGATCAACTCCAAGGAGGCCAACAGCTCCATGACCCCGGGATCCTTCACTTTCAACTTGAACCTCGGTTCTGCCAACGCAAACAAGGACGTTTATCTCTCCTATCTCACTGCACCCGGCGCTGAGTCGCAGACCGAAGTGACCTGGAACGGCATGAGCTACGACGACATTACCGGAAACTCAACCCTTGTCGACGCCAGCGAGAACAGGTTCACCCTCGACGGATCAGGCAAGATGTCTGTGCAAGTGCGCGACTCGCAGGCCGTTGTCGCGAACCTGGGCTCGAAGCTCGGTGTCAACCTCGTCCTCAAGCCTGATCCAACTCAGAGCAAGAAGAGCAGTGCGGCCACTTCTATCCTCGCCGGATCGCACAACTTCATCTACTCCACGGCTGTCACCGTCATCCTAGCGCTGGGGATGGTGATGATCTAAGCATCTCGAGCCTCTTGTATTTCCTTTTTGTCTTCTTCAACTTGCATGACTCTTGTATATATGGACTGGGCGTTTGGGCGTGAAGCATCATCCACATCAGCATATGACGGCGTTTTTCTCATCCACAACTGAGCATACGTAGACGCGAACCCCGCGCCGTTACTCACACCTCTGGACTACTCATGATACGAACTTGGAAACTACCACCGCTTTTTGTTTCTTTTTGGCATTGGCGTTGGCGACAAGGTCGCCATTTTTGTATATGGCCCGGCCTTTGGCGACGCGACATTTTTCTTGTGTACACAGCATGAAGATTGAGATGCAAAGATATTAGACGCTAGATTACATATCATCGGTGCGGACAATTATTGTTAATATCTTCACATTTGCATCCGAAACTTGATCACTATCGTGGCATGTGTATTGTGAAAGAGACGTCTTTACCAAGCCTTTCAGGCTGACTTTTCAGGCACCCAGTCCGTCCCGGAGGCGGAAGGATGAGATCCTGCATCCTGGCGGTACGGCATGGTCTGTGTGTAATGGCTCGGCTGCACCGGCGTGGCTGTGTAAGACCCGAGTTGGCAATCGATAGAATGGTGGGGAGGGCGACGCGTGTCGGTTCGGACGGACCAAGGAGGGAAAATAGAAATGTTTCTGCGTGTTGGAAGGACGGGTGTATGTCTTTCGGTGTGGTTTTGGAGTTTGGAGTTTGGATGGTAGGGTATTAATGCTAAAGACTTTTCGTTGAAGAAGTATGTGGAGTTGAGAACCATGCGGTGACTATGAATTCGACCTTATCTTGGACAGAATACGATAGCTTGAGGGGATTAGTATTATCCTAGCTCTCATGTCGAATTCGTGTTCTGGTGAGCTTTTGAGCGTTGAATAGATCAGCCTGCTGGGCTGTGTCTAAGTAACCGAAGTCATTTCTTTTTCAAAGAGCAGACAAAACTAGATGTCAATCGCAAAAACTCCAACAACCTCTAGCTTAGAGTAGACGTACAAGTGACATAATTAGTGTCTAAATCAATGATGCTGCGGTATAATGGTCTAAAGCTACCCCTGCAGCTTTCCTCCACCTCCTGTCGTACGTGCCAAAAGGCTGTACACTGCGTGTAAAAAGTGGCTTTGTTGATACGCATCTCTTTGTAAGATACCGAGAAGTAATTATGCCTGCAGTGTAATGTTGTAACACATATAGGCTGAGCTGTACGGAATCGACCACACCAACTTATCATGCAGCGTGTACTTCTGCGAATGCTCAAAATCCCTGAGTTGCCTTCAATGTACGCTGGCATATCTTCAATCTCCCTCGCCCATGGTGATCCTCAACATGCGCTTCAGTATCGAATGGTCTGCATCGTTCTCTGAGACGCCAAGTTCACCGCGTATTAATATGTCCTCGTGGTTAGGAATGGTCAACGTAGTTAGCTCCATATCGAGGAAGGCTGCATCATATCCACGTCTCTGTGCTATCTGACTGTCAGTAACCAATTTATCACCATCGCAGTTCCGCTTGTACTTACGGCAGAAGACGTGCCAATTGTGCAGCTTGCTAATCAATGCTCCCTTTGGCTCGCTCCACAAAGAAGTGACATCGATCCTGGCCTGTGTAGACTTACGCATGTCAGAGACTATTGCTACATTGCAGTGGAAGGCTTGGTCCTTCAGTTCGAAAACGATTGGGCCAAGGAAGACCAGTTGACGGAAGAGATAGGCAAATTGCCGGATGACATACTCCTTGCTATCGAGTTCAATTTCAAAGGTAATGGTACCTGAACGCTGCTTCAATCTCGTCAAAGCGCGAAGCTGTCCCCGTACTGTTGTCCGCTCGTCTTTCCCAGAATCAGCAGTGTCGTAGGCAATCCTAAAGACAATCGTGCAGGACCGAATGAAGTCAGAAGGCACTATACCGCTGCCGAAAGGGTCGAAAGCGAGCGCATACGAGATGGCTCTGAAGCTCATACGCATATCCGTGGTCTCGTAGAAGAACTCGGTGTACTCTCGGGCAAACTCTGGGCCAACCATGTCTTTCCTCTGCCAATGTGGGATGTCTGGAAGTTGTCCGTCTCCACAGTGAAGCTCGTGGAACTTGATGCGTGACTCTTCTGAAAGGCGAGGTTGGCAGAGGTAGGAATACACCATGTCTCTTACTTCACGCGGTACGGCGTGGTAAAACCTCCTGGCCAGGTCCAGGCACTCCGACTTCGCCGCAGCGAGTCGAAATTCTTGCATGAGCAGGTTTCTGTTCTGCGTTAGCCTGTTGAACTCTTCTGCCACATTAAACGTGCCTCTCTCTCTGCTCCTTCCACTGTTCGTATTCATCGAGCTCTTCGCGATTGCTACTCAGAGCGTCGCGCTGTCTGCCATGCGTAGCTCCATTATGATCTATGGGTCTGCGAAATTTACAGCATTAGAATCATCCTTGTTGCAAAGTTTTCGTACATAGCCTACTCTTGCTTGTGCTTGTACTTGGCCTGCCTTCCACGGTTCTTTTTCGGACGCTTTTGAGTATATGGTATGGAAAACATGACGAGATTGAGAGATTTCGGTGGTTGAAACTGTCTGAGGGTGATTGTCCAGGTGATTGTTCTCTATCAAGCACAGCGAGTTATACTAGGGATGCGATTGGAGCTCTCGCACCTACACTTCCCCACAATGGCCAGTCACGTGCATCCGAGCGTCATCAGCTCACTGGCCTTTCACGACGTACCGTCGCGCTGGAGCCAGATACGGTTGTTTGTAAGGACATGATTGCAGACAATGTGAGAGCAAATCGAACTGATTTGCGCAACCAAAAATGGCGTCCTGGGTTTCCTGTACTCTTTTCTACCACTCTTCGTCCTTCAAGACCCTCCGAATATTCCAAAAACGCGGCATACCATAAGTGAGCCTGTATGCCTTCAACACCTTGAAAATCACTGTATGGACTCTCACATTGCATCCTGGAGTCACTCAGTCACTTATCGCATTTTTCCTATGAAAAATAGCAGTCGTGAAGGTAATCAGCTGTCATGGTCCATCAATGCGAGCGCAGGCGTCCAGTAGTCTTCTCATGGCAACCTGAGCCGTCTGCAAGCTATACCTGGGCTTCAAGCCGCCAGCAACAACGTCCGCGGTGTTGCTGATAACGACAGGATGCCTGATACCGCAAATATCCTCCACAAAAGCATAATGCTTCTTCTTCCTAGCCGCGTCATACGCGCCATCGACTGGTGACAAGTCATGGTTCTCATTTACCAGGGTAAAGAGCTTTAGCAGCTCTCAATTGGCGAAGCGCGCAGTGTACGAGAGGAAGAACATAGAAAGACTGGTGGCCGATAAACGAGTGAGTTTGGACAGCTGCGCTTGCTTCTGAAACGGATTCAACTCATCTGGACCAAACGTCATAGGCGGAAGCTGGTTAGGGTCTCCGATCAAGAAACGTATCGACACATTCCAGGAGAGTGAGAAAACCTGGATAGCATGAACATCGTTGAAACGGCCGAGTTCATCCACGAGGAGGGAATGGGTGTGTCTGAAAGACACAAAGTTTGGCCTTGCAGCGGTAGAGGCTGTAGTGACGATAGCTGTGACCTTCTGTAGGAGCTTGCGCAATGCCTGGTTGACGACCTTTACGATGCTCTTCTTGGTATCGGCGTTCATCTCATCTATTCTTGACCCAAAGATCCTCGTGTGCATTGATAATTGCCAGGTGGGTCAAGCAGATGCGCATAGTACAGTCTCCCTCATTGTTGACATTCAGCAGCGATACAACAATGAAATAATCCTATATTTGCTATCTATACCTAACAAAATATATCTCAATGTCGATTGCGAGGGCCTTTAAGCAGATCTTCGCTATGTAATACGTTCTGAATCTCAATTCACCCTGTATCTCTTCAGCGTACCCAAAATTACCCTTCACCCTACCGATGATGTAACTCGGAGGTACTCAATTCGTTCTAGACATGTCTTTTCCTAATTGAAAATACTCTGAATATATCCTGGCTTACATAAACGCAATAGGAAAATGCGCTGTCGCAATGCAATAATTGGGCGATCTACCTACGTCAGAGTGCGCACTTCCCATTCTCAGCAGCAGCACCATCCCATCGTCTGAAATCCAAAACCACTGAGTCTATTCGCACCCTCCCATCGCGTAGTAATCCTTTGTTCCGTTCCTGGTCCATCCTACCTGGCACGCGTCGCCCTCTCAGTGCGTCCCAGTGTCTCTGGAACAGCCACTCACTTACACCTTTCCCATAATACCCTCCGGGACCACGAACTTACTCGACAACACAACAAGGCCACCAAAGACACATAATGTGCCACCAAAGATTGCAACCTGAGAATATCCCCCATATCTCTCAAGCAGCGCACCACTGATCGGCGGACCAGCAAGCGTTGCGAAAGCTGCCAGGCCCATACCCATGCCCATATATGTCCCGAGATTGCGAGGATCCTTGGTACACAAGGAAATTGCAACCGACGCCGAAGAGATGATCGCGCCAGACGTAAAACCAAAGAATATGACATAAATGATGAGACCAGCGTTCGTCTTCGGCTCGTCAAAGCAGAACACCATGATACCGGTTGCTATGCCTGCTAAACCAAATAAATTTAGTTTCCCAAACTTGTCAGCCAGTATGCCAGGGATGATACGGCCTAAAGTCGAAGTAGCGTTGATGATTGCGAGCAAGTTGCCGGCGAGGGTGACGCCCATTCCCCTCGAGACAGCATACGACGGCATAAAAAAGATTGGTGTCCACATGCCCATCATCATGAAGAACATGCCTGCTATCAAGAGGCAGTACTTTATATCTTTCCACGCCGCGCCAATGAATATGTTTGCCTTCCTTGGGGGTACGCGCGGCTTCAGGATCATTATCGCGAGGAGGAAGAAGGGCAAGATGATGAACCCGATGATGCGGATCGACCACCCGAATCCGATGGATGAGCCATTTAGGAGTTTGGATAGGATGAGAGGAAAGATGATGCCTCCGATGGAGGATCCAGATGCTGTGATGCCCATGGCTGCTGCGCGCTTCTTGTCGAAGTATTGAGCGACGATCGCGAAGGCGGGAAATTGAAGGCATGCGACCGCGGAACCCATGACCAGGCCTTGAGCGAGCATGAATTGGTAGTACTAGGTACGATGTTAGCCTTGCCCTGTACTTGAATGTAATAAAGACTTACTTCCGTGCACAGGCTAGTCATCATTAAGCCGAAGATGTAAAGAATGGCAGAGACTCGCAGAATCTATGATCATCGCTATTCAGTTCATGTGATCATTGTAGACGTCCAGTAAATTGGCTTACGTTGATCCCAAATCGATCGAACATCGACCCACTAATAGCACCTCCACTGAACTGGATAAAATTGCTCACACTGCCAATCCAGGCGATGTCGCTGGCACTGTAGTTCTTGAGTTGATGTGTGCCGTAGTACTCTTGAAGTACGCCAAAGCAAGATGTGAAGCCTAGGCAGCCGAAGAAGATACAGAAGCCACCAAAGGCGTTGAGCCAGGCGGTTGTGCCACCATCAGGGGCGGGACCGAAAGCACTCCCGTCGTCTTTGGAGACAGGTGCAGCTTGAGCGGACTTCTCTGCATCTTCGATAGAGTGTTTGGAAAAAGAAGACGAGGAATTGGATCTTGCTTGAGGCGTCATGGTGGTTGTTCAAACTTGATGCTGTATGATAGGAAAAGAATTGCAGTAGATATATGGCTCCTAAGTATGGTGTTGAGGTGTTGAGAGGCGAGGGTGGTAGAAGATCTGATGATGGAGTGAGAGCCACATCTTGCATACGGCTATATACATCAAATTGATGCAGCATGTTGTCATCGGAGAAGGTGTTTATGTTCGGTCGGCGATAACAAGACCGACACGCAGGTCTTCGGCTCACCCGAACATCTGTCGCACAGTTTGTATGCTACCCTTTTGGCGGCGATATGCAGGTCATCGTATTAGTACTCGCTGACGGCGTCCATGACATATCGTACTGTTACTACGCTTAGCATTATTATGTGGATGCGAAGCTGATAGGGACATTGTTGAGAGGGCAGTGCCTCCTCGTTCTCCAGGTAGTCAGGCCCCCTTCAAAGCTGCGCACCAAAACATATATATGACTAGCAGTATCACCCCAACTTTTGATAGACATGGAGTGATAGTATAAGTCATCATGATACTCTCTCAACATCGTGTGTGTCAGATTTGATAGAACACTCGGAGATAGCGCAGCGCTCGGCGAGAAGTTGGTGATGCCGAGCAGCGAAGACTATCATTGGCTAGTATCTCCTAGCGTCGGCTTTATCTCCGCGCCGCCAGCATTCATATCGCTGGTTTTCCCGCCATTGATCAATACTTCCTCAAAGTTCATTTCTATCTCCTTTCCCAGATGTCTGACCATATGGCTGAACTAACGAGGAGACGCAAGAGAGTCGCCATGTACGTTCGACCATCATTCGTCCACTCTGAAGTGTAACTCGTGCATCATCCTTCATGTCGCTTTACTGTACTGTTTCTTGAGACGAAAAAGCATGTACAATCCTTTGCCTTATTCATCATTGCATTGTGAAGTTACAAAGAGTGTGCGGGATCACTACTGACTAGCAACCTATAGTTCGTGCACACTTTGTCGGAAACGAAAGATCAAGTGCAATCGTGAGACGCCATGCAGCAATTGTGTGCGATCTCGCAACTCGGCTTGCGACTATGAGATCAATCCACTGCAGGCAACACATATGCAAAGATCGCCAACACTCCGTACGCGACCAGGAAGCTCAAACGCAGATGCTCGTACAACGCCAGACCTACATCAGCAACTCCGACAAGGTGCTATGGCACAGGCACATTGGAACAGGCCTACACTACCAATTACTCCTGTTTCTACCACTTTGGTCGAACTCGATTATATGAAAAACAAGATTGCGGATCTAGAGGAGCAGCTTGCTCGAACCAATAGCTTCAGACACTCCGATGCGCCATCAGTAGCACCCAGCCCAGCGCCCACAACCTCTTTTCACGTCACGAGTGGCTTCTCTGGTCCCATCGACGTACTTCAAGATGCCAGAAACCTTGGTAGCGCGTACACGATCCCCAGAGGCATCTCGCATAAGAACAGGGTGTTTGGCCAGAGCCATTGGATGAATGGCGTTGTGGTATTTCGCGACGTGATCGAAATACTTGAATCACACCTGAAAAGTGGCACATCAAATATGCTGCTAGCCCTTCATCGTGCCAAGATGCTAGCACGAATGATCAAAGCTGCACGCTCACCCGACTGGCCAACGCCTCCAACAAACGATCTGCCGACTAAGGGTGTCTGCGATGAACTTATCGGACATTACCTCAGGACCATCGAGACGCTTTATCGCATTCTCCATGTGCCCACTTTCCGAAAAGACTACGAAGTATTATGGACAAGCGAAGCCGACGTTAAGACTGGCTTCATGGTGCAGTTAAAGCTCGTTCTGGCCATTGGTGCAATCTTCTATGATGAGAATTGTTCAATGCGACCTGAAATAACACGCTGGATCTACGAAGGTCAGACCTGGCTCTCTTCGCCTTCTTACAAGTCAAAACTGGGTATCCAGCACCTTCAGACCAGCATCTTACTGCTTCTTGCTCGGGAGTATGCTGATGTCGGATCTGAACTTGTCTGGATATCCGCTGGAGCACTGCTTCGAGAGGCAGTGTATATTGGTCTGCACAAAGATCCTGTTTACTTGCCAAAAATAAGCGTTCGCAGCGCAGAGATGCGCCGCCGAATTTGGAATACGATACTAGAGCTCAATGTACAGTTCAGCTTGATCTCCGGCGGTCCCTGCCTCATCTCATTAGAGGACTTCAATACCGGACCACCTGGCAATTACGAGGACCAGGAGCTTATGGCGCACGAACCAAATCGCCAGCCAGACCATGTTTTCACGTCGACCTCAAGCGCAATAGCATTCCGGAAAACGTTACCGATACGCCTCACCGTTGTCAAGTTTCTAAATGATATCGCGACAAGCGGGACTTTTGAGGAAACGCTCCGCACCGACACTGCCTTACGAGCATCATATAAAACACTTCGTAGGGATTTAAAGGAGATGAACGCAACAGAATGCCATCCATTTGCTTCAACGGCCATCGAGTTCATGATGCAGCGCTACATCTCATCCTTGCATATCCCCTACTTCAACCCCTCATTGCACGAAGCCATCTACGCTTTCTCGCGCAAGACCGTGTTCGACACCTCCCTCAGACTATGGAACCTCGCCTACTTCACCGATGCTTCGAAAGAAACAGATTTCGTCCGTCTTTGTCGCTGCGGAGCAGGCTTCTTCCGCGCATTCACATTACACGCCTCGACCTTTTTGGCAGTCGAGTTGCGTGTACAACTACAAGAAGAAGACAGTGTGCCGCGCCCAGATCTGCTATCTATACCCGAAGATGCCGCCAACTTTTACCTGAGGTGCATCGAAGCTGGAGAGACAGGTATCAAGGGTTATCTACTCCTCCGGACACTCGTCGCTCGAATTGGTGCCGTCAAGCAAGGACTAGGACGTGTTGAAATGCAAAATTCAATCGGACAAGCTGCTGAAAATGCAGTGGAACAATGCGCACGAGTGCTAGAGAGACTAGCAGGTCTAGGGAGCGAGGATGCAGGTGGCGAATTCGACTTTCAAATGCCGGTGGACTTCATCGGTGATTGGGATCTGACGATGTCTGACATGTTCAATTTTGATGGCGGGAGTAATTTCGAAGCTTTCATGATTTAGGAGGTCTGGACTTAAGAGGCGCAGTCGGTGGTTGAACAAGATCATCAATGGATGCTACCTAGCAAGCGGACTTTTGCGAAGTCCAAAACTACTTCCTTACCTCTACCCAACGACATACAGCCATAACTACTTATTACTTCTTACCTTTGTACTACACCACAGCACCAAGAAAACGCCTGTCAGCCTTCCACGATACTAAAATGGCGCACCCGGCAAGTCATTTCCCTCGTCATCCGTTACCCTCCCGAACCTGAAGAGCATGTATTCCTTCATATTGATGCCGATGGCTTCTTGCTGCAAGATGCTCAATTCTCTCCGGATTGGATCATTGAAGAATTCTTTCGTTCCTTCATGGAAACCATTTGCAATGAGGTCTTGCTCACGTTCCTGACACCTCCTGACTGTATCTTTGATTGACGCTTTGAGACTGGCTGGCAGAGGTGGCAGAGGTGGCGTGGCGAAGGGTTGTTGCTGAACATATGTGCTTGTATCAGCATTGAATTCGCCGTCTTCGCTTTCGCCCTCGCTTATGCCGTGGTTGAAAAGGTCGTCGAGATTGGGTTGCGAATTCCAGTTGTAGCCATCGTTGGTGATACTGTCATTGATGTCGTTGCTGTCATCGCCGTTATTGTAGCCATCGTTGGTGTTGTCGCCATCGTTGATGTTGTTGTCGTCATCTTTGCCGTCGTAGTTGTCCTCGAAATGATCACTCTCAACGTCGCCTCCTTCCGCAATGTCGCTGTCACCCTCGCTGTCTGTCTCGGATTCAATGTTAGATTTTTGCCTGGGTACGAGACCGGTGCGCGCTCTGTCGGTAGCCAACCACATATCGCATACGCTCTCTTGGAGGTTCAACGTCACTGCTCTTCTTACTCCCAGCCTAATTTGGTCGTACTCTTGTTTGGTCAGCGTCAGCCCCTGGCCAACTTGTAGAAACCTCCGCAATTCCATGGCCCGGAATTTGTCCAAGTATTGTCGCCTGGTCATGATGGCCATCTTGAAGGTTGTAGCTGAGGCGTGGACGAGATATGATATGGATATGAGTACTCAAGCGTTCATTATGTACTTAAGACCTGCTTGCTTATTGAGTGGCAGATGATGAGTGTTTGCTGCGAGCTGAGACAAATGACTTGTTGACATTATCCTATGGTCTTTGCGATGTTCACAAGCTATTGTATTTGCCAATAGATCATGCTCCGGAGACATCGCGCTGGGCTTCAGTCCGTCAGCACCCCATGATCAGTGACATGTTATAAGCATTCTTTCTGTAAAACATGTTCGCCCCTCCCGCTCTCACATAGCGCTGTTCAGTCTGCATCACTCTTTACTAAAGTTCGAAGAGATTTGGACCATGCATGGCCAAGAGAAACAGCAGAGATGGGAAAAGACATGGAGCAAAAGTACATACAACAAAAACATGCGAAAATCAGGCATAAAATAGTCTTGAAAACAAAATAAAGCATTAAACTAGCTGCCAGAGGTGTTGATGGCGTTTACAGTGTCACTAGTACCAGTCTCTTCGTTGGTTCTGGACGCCTCTTGCCTCGTTCCGGCACGTGCATCTGCGTCATTAGGGTTTCTGCGATCTCATGCCATAGCAAGCTCGACGAGATCGGCTTTGCGAATCGCCTCTTCGCTGTCTTTCTTTCGGCGGATCGTATGTCCGCGCTGGTTCATCAAGACCTTCTTCAGGGAGAGTTCGATGAAGTCTTTATGGTAGTCATCAGCAGATTTGGACATGATGAAATCGGCGAGCAGTGTGACGAGTGCTTTGTTGGTGCGGGAAGAATGTTGGGTGTCAGTGTCATTATACAAAAAAGTGATTGCTACACGGTTCCAGATGACCGAGGCATGCTAGATGCGACTATCAGACGCAGCAGGTGACCGAAAATCACCTGAGTAAGACAAGCGCTCATGAACAAAAAGTGTGAATAGATGCAGATTCAGTAGGTTCATAGTGATCGATTCAAAGTCGGGTTACTGTTCTTTATCTTAGGCCAACAGTATGTAGTCTTCGAATCTGCCTTGCCGCATCGCCACCAGGAGCTGGAGGAAATACGTCTCCCGGCATCGATGGCGGTAGACGAACCGGTCGTACCGGGGAGGCAGGCGTCTCTGTTTCTTCTTCTTGACGCGATATAAGAGGAACCTCTGCACTCTCCTGTGCTTCGACATCTTCATCAAGCTCTTTCAACTTCTCTTCCGCAACTGTGCCTTCCCTTCGTTGTGTCTTCAACACGCCTCCCCAGAGCGTCTCAAGATCGGTTTCTACACGCTTCTCTTCCGTGAACATTTGTACCACGACGTTGACGCCGGGATTCACACTCCTGAAGCCTACAAACTCATCGACGTTATCACCAGGCAAGTGCATGTCGTCAGGATGCGCTTCGATCTTGCTGAGAGTACAGCATATCCAGCCGGTGCGGATACCGTCATCGAGGTTGCCTTCCGGCACAGCGCCGCCGACGTTGGCTAACATCCTCATGCGCTTGGCCTTGCGCCGTAACTTAATCTTCAGCTCGTTGCGACCTAGTAAGCCTGCCGCGTTCGCCTTCAGCCCATGCTCTCTTCGCAGGAATCGAGCGAAACCATCTGCCGCCACGTGAAGATGCTTCTCAGATCGTGCCGTGGCAATGATCATGATGAGCTTCGGGCCTAGCGCAGGTGGAGGGTCAAGATGCCTCAGATCCAGCAATTCCAAATCGTCAAGACCAGCAGTTATGGATATGTATTCGAGTATGGTTTTGAGGAGGGGCGGTGGGTTGGGCGGGAGGTCGGGGATCTCGATGGGCTTCTGAGCGTCGCGGGCAGCTGGGTTTTGTCTGAGGTACCAGGGTATGGATGTGTCGACGGCGGAAGATTTGGGCGCTGCAGCTGAAGACGTCTCGACAGAAGCTTCAGCGACTGATGTATTTAATTCAGTGTCGGCGACTGAGATTGGTTCCTCGGTATGGGCGGTGTTGGTAGAAGATTTTGTGCTGTCATCTAGAAATGCGAATTCGGGATCTTCAACTGCGGGATCGTCCCGGTCTTTCGCCATAGATGTACTCGTGCTGAATGCGCATTTTGAGGATTTTCTTGGTGTAGCATTTACCCTCAATGTGGCGCGCTGTACGGAGCCATTGATCGATTTTGATGATCGAGCAGCTGCCCTCTGGCAGGCACTGCACACAAAGTTTGATGACAATGCTCTTGCAAGGTACATCTCAATGGACTTCGGTTGATGGCTTATGAATTTGGCGTATGATGTCGACTTCCTGAACTTTTCGAAGCGTCGGTGAATAGTTCGCCGCGCCGCCGGTACATCATCGGCAAGCACGCGTGCACGTGACGATAAGATAAGAAGCGGCGGCGAAAGTCACAAAGTTTTGGTGGGGTGAATTTCCAAGCAGCATTTCGCCCCAACTTTTCGACTCATAAAGGCCAAAACACCGCCTCTCTTTTTAAATCCTCTGCCGTTGCTGTAGAGGTAATCAGAATACTCCGTCAAGAGACCACACCTTCACCGTAAAGAGTAAAACATCACACCAGCCATGGAGATTGACAGTCAGGCATTTGCGCCTGAGCCCAAGAATGCGGCAACAATTCTCTGCGCAGACTGCGGTGCGCCCGTTGACGGAACCATATCAGGAGCCTTCTGCTACGACTGCATCAAGCTCAAGACCGACGTCACCGGAGGCGTCCCTCGTGAAGCCGTACTGCACATGTGCCGCGACTGCGATCGATGGTTGTCACCACCAAACTCTTGGGTCGTCGCTGCTCCCGAATCGCGCGAACTACTCGCTCTCTGCCTCCGAAAACTCCGTGGACTGAACAAGCTGAGGATCATCGACGCGAGCTTCATCTGGACGGAGCCGCACAGCAGGAGGATCAAGGTTAAGATCACAGTGCAGTCAGAAATCAACGAGGGCGCGATCCTACAACAGAGCTTCGAGTGCGAATTCACACAAAACTACCACCAGTGTCCCGATTGCGCGAAGAGTTACACACACAACACATGGAGGGCTTGCGTGCAAGTGCGTCAAAAGGTGCCGCACAAGAGGACCTTTTTGTATCTGGAGCAGTTGATCTTGAAGCATGGAGCGCACAAGGACTGCATCAACATCAAGGAAGTGCACGACGGCATCGACTTCTTCTTCGCTGCACGCAATCACGCTACTACATTTTGCGACTTCCTCAAAGCAGTAGTGCCCGTCAACATCAAAAAGTCCGAGGAGCTGATCTCTATGGATATCCACACTTCAACGAGGAGCTTCAAATTCTCCTTCTCCTGCGAGATCGTCCCGATTTGCAAAGACGATCTTGTCGTCCTTCCTATTCCGCTAGCGAAGAAGGCTGGCAACATTGCCCCTCTCACCATCTGCACGCGCATTGGTACATCGGTACAGCTTCTCGACCCTGCGACTCTCCAGACTGCCGACATAGCTACCGATCTCTACTGGCGAACGCCGTTCCGACCGCTCGCCGATGTACAAGAGCTGACAGAGTTCATTGTCCTCGATATTGACCCTCTCGGCAAACAACAAGGCCGCAACTTCCTAGCCGAAGCAACAGTGGCGCGCGCATCAGACATGGGGGTAAACGACCAAACATACTACTGCCGCACACATCTGGGTGGTATTCTGCATGTCGGCGACTCCGTTATGGGCTACCTCCTCAGTAACACCAACTTCAACAGCGAGCTCTTCGATATCCTTGAGGGCTCTAACAAGTACTCTGCTCAAATTCCGGATGTCATGCTTGTCAAGAAGCACTACCAGCGCGGCAAGAAGAGCAAGAGCAAGCGCAACTGGCGCCTCAAGCGCATGAACCGCGACGAAGGCGAGATGCTGCCCAGGAAGCAGGACCAGGAGAAGATGGAGCGCGACTTCGAAATGTTCTTGCAGGATGTGGAGGAAGATGTTGACCTGCGACAGGGTATGGCGCTGTACAAAGCACAGCAAGAGGCCAAGCAGCGTGAAGCTGAAGCCATGGAGACGGAGAGTGAGATCGACGACGACGACGATCAGGGTATCACGATACCGATGGAGCAGCTGCTCGACGACTTCGACGAGATGACCATGGAGGATTAGGTGGGCCATACGGGTAAAGCATATGGTTGGAGTTCACTTTGCATTATGATATCTACTTGCATTTCCGGGCGCAGGTGGTAGGAAAAAAGACATATGCTGAATACGAGGATATAGACTGGTGTGTCGTTCGGGTTTGATGATAGCACCTCAATGATTCACCACAAGATTCGCCTTTATCTCACTGCCTGCTCGTGATTCATCTCTAATTGTTAGGATCTAGCTTTCGTCCGATGCCTGACTCTAATTTCGCAGCAGCTGCTTCGCATCAGAAATACTGAGCATTATAGACGAGCGCCTGGTACAATACGAATAAAGAGAGCGTCGACCGATCTTTAGGAACGAAAATATGCTTTTACAACACGAAATCATGATTGCTGCCATTATTGTTCAGAAGAGTATACATGTAAGAGAAACTAAAAGGAAAAGGGAAAATCAAGCAAACTCCCACTCCTCTAATGCCTCTCCGTCCCCGACCTTCACCCCATCCGCCATCCCCATTTCCAACTCCCACCGCGCCTTCTCCCCCACCCCACCCTTATCACGATCAAATTCAAAATCCCATACTTCCATCTCCTTCTTTCCCTCGCCTTCCAGCGCGCGCTTCAATATCCGAAAGAAACTCGGCAATAACGCGCGAGTATCCTTATCCAAATCATCCTGATGGATATTTCCCCTTCCCTCACTACACAACCTCTTCCTTACCGCCCCAACGAAATCCTCCTTCGCGCGCTCATCCGTAACAACCTCCTTGCGCAGCTCCGTACTGAGCCCCTCCCACTCCCTGACAATACTCATATGCAAATTAAAATGCAGAGAAGTAGGCGGACTCGTACGTTCCGGCAGGCCCGTCGTCGACTTCTCAAACCGGCTCGCGAGGCCAAAGACAGCAATTAAATGCTTCGCCCGCTCGTGGCGGAGTTTCTGCACGTTTTTCTCCGACATCTGGTTTGCCTTGGTGACGTTTGTGAACTTGAAGTCGCACGCGCCGCAATGCAGGACTGAGGCGCCGAAGGGATTGGCGAAGGGGACGACGGCGGATACGTGGCATGCTGTAAGTTTGGCATTTATGAGGTGCGCGTTGTGGCTGGCGAAGATTGAGAGTAGGGTGTCGTAGTGCGCGAGGGCTGGAAGGGGGGATTGGACGGAGAGGACGGTGGTGGCGAGGGGTTCGGCGTCGCGCATGCGAGTGAAGAATGTTTGAGCTGTGCAGTGGCCTTTTTGCGTGAAGAGGAGCCAGTATAGTATAAGTTGGATCTTGCGCATGGTGTTGTCGTTGATCTCGACGTCGACTTCTTGGATGCAGCCTGAGAGGTGCTGCTTGAAAGTTTCGGAGTCTGTGACTAGAGAAGCCTTGTTTTGATCCTTGGGTGTGAGAGTGCCGTTGAAGTCCTTGTAGATAACTTCGAGGTACTTTTGCTTCCACTGCGTATCTGGGAGCTTGTTCTGGAGTGCGATTTGGAGGTCAACGAGGTACTTGGAGGCAATGGAGTGGATGACTTTTGCCGCCCTCATCCTCTGAGCCTGTTCTACTGTAAGTTTTCCGACACGGCTACTAAGCTCCAAGAGGACATTGAAGCCAAGCGCAGGATACGTCACAGCAAAGCTTGCAAGGCCATTAGTCTCGAAATCCTTCGCTACCCATTCTAGTGCTTGTGGGTAGCGGACCCAATCTCCTGTCTCTTTGAAATCTTCCCGGGTGAAAGTGTTCTTCAAGAGCTGATTGAGCATCCATTCAAAGGTTTCTCGTCGCTGTCTGATCTCCTTATACGCGTTGTCTGATAGCTGGACCTCATTCATATCAGATCCTGCCCAGGCTCTGGTGTTGATAAGTTCAAGAAGTATGGACATGAAAAGCTGCGCTATGCCTGCCGCTCCAGTTGCCAGCTTCGCAGTCAAAGCCAAGTACAGTTGTTCGTTGATGTACTTTTTATTACTGCCATCGTACTTCAGAGCAGGAATGACGGCAGTCAGAGGCTCATGGTATATCGACCTACTCGAAGGCGAAAGTACCGCACACTGGAAGCAGATGTTCTGGCTAGAGATAAGTCCGACGTTCTTCGCTGATGCGCCTGCTGCGAGAGGAAAGTTGAGAGCAAAGTCAGTAGTGTTGTCCTCGACTTTGTCTGCTTCCATCTCTTTGAAACATATCGACATGATGACTTCCTCGTCGCAACAGATCTGGCAGAAGCCCTTGTATGCTGGCGCATCGAGGTCAAGCTTCATCATATCTACCGTAGTGGCTGTCTCAATCACATCAGCTCGTCGAGCTCGGTTGCTCTTTCGCGATAATATCTCCGCGTTAAAGCCAGCGGCTTCGATGGCTGCCAGTGTCCTCAGCGCTCCATCGACAAGCTGGTTGCGCTTCTTCAGGGCTATTTCCTGCTCCGACCCTATAAAGTCTGTGGTTGATTTCTGGTAGTGATCGCGGTTCTTCGCATGTGCAGCTCTTAGGCGTTCCTGAAGCTTTACACGCTCTTGAGCCGTAGTCTTGACATCTCCCATCTTCGTTATGAGGGCTCCAGCTCCAGCCACGTCTTCCAGCTTTGGCGCAACCTGCTCAATCTTTTGCTTCTGAAGAAAGCCTCTGAGCTCTGCAATACGACTGCGCGTCTTATAGGCCACCGATAGGGCGTCAAAAGTGTTGTCTGCAAGGAGATCACACAGATCGTCCTTGGAGAGCACACCAGCCTTGGGAAGAAGATCCAAGTCGACACGGACGGGTCCATGCTGTCGCTCCTCCCAGTCTGTACCAAGAGCAATTCCCTTTGCAGACTCTGGTCGAAATTCAGCCTTGATAACTTGGACCTCCAGCTTCTTGTACTCCTTGAAGAACGATGTCTCGTCGCCGAAAAGTTGCAGATCGTCCCAGCTCTCAAGGTTCTGTGCGGCTGCCGACCCACCGAGCGCGGCGAAACACCCTTTCCCTGCGATGACATATATTCTTCCAGTACTGATTTCCTTGAAGAGAATCAACGTGTCCTCTGAGCTAGCGAAGAATGAGATACCGACTGATATATTGGCGGTACCAGGGCTCTTCCCCGGACTTCCGGTGATCAAGAATACCAGCGGAATATTGAGCACATCGCGATCTTGGGCGATCTTGGCAAGCTGATGTACATCTTGCTCCCAGATCTCCCCATCAGTCAAAAGAAACCAAACATCCGAGCGCTTGATTGCGTTGAGCGCGCCTTGATCATGGAAAATCTGAGACGGTGTCGTGCCTCCATGCTGTGACCTCCAGCTGATGGCCTCGAAGCTGTGAGTCGGAGAATCGCACCGAGAGCCCCAGAGAGAGATAGTGTCGTCGCGGTTTGCATAAATGGTGCGAAATTGATCTACGAAGGCGCGCTCCCGTCGAAGGACAGTCCCTGCTGTCGAGCCAGAGTCGTCTACGGCAAAGAACTTGCGACTTTGCAGGAAAGGCGTGTACTCAACGTCGACATCTCCTGAAGGCTCGGGGAATATCTTCCAGCTTGCCATGATGGTTAAAATCTAGACTGTCATCATTCGTTGCTGTTTATAACATAGTTCCATGGACTGACTGACCTGGTGCAAAACATCTACTCGACAGCGACGCAATTTCCTTGGGTGTGATCAGAGTATCAGAAAACGACTCCTGATGTACTTCATATCATTTTTTATTTCGCTCCTTGCTTTATACACAGTCTTAGAACGTAACTCAACCAGATTCACACTCACCATGGGTGGCCTAAGGGACCGGTGAGGGCTGAGGCTTCCGCCACAGCCTAGGCTGCTCTGAGACAAGCCTGGGACTTGTAGCAAATGATTCATCGACATTAAATTCCGATCATTTCGATGAGGTAGAAGGTTGCTAGTCCAATATCATATTTGCCGCGAAGTGATGTTGTGACTGTGTTGGTGTCTTGGGGTAGAAGGGCGTCTGAATACGAGGCTGTTGGGCCGGAGTTACGCGACCCGCGAATAGTAGGAGTCACCCCGTGTTCTTCGCCCTTTCCATACTTTACCAGCAAATACGATCAAGCAGTTATCGCAGTTCAGCATCGACCTGAAGTGCGAGGCAGACAGTAGTCACATGGTCTCCTGAGTTTACTTGGGCAGTATCAGCCTAAACAAAAGCCTGAAGCTGTACACAGCGCATTGGCGTCACGTTTGAAGTCTAGCAATATCTTGCATAGCTCCAGGCTATCAATTCGTTGGCAAGAAAGTAAGAAGTTGCTTGTCGATCCTACCTTGCATGATTTGAATAACCAGAAGAGCTTTCACAAGCGGTAAAAGACAGTGTTTAGGTGCGCCGTCTGCTCGGGATAACGAACATGACTCAAGGTTAGGACTCGGGACCAGAGAAAGTTGGATGTAAGGTTTAGACGAGGATGCGGTTGAAAAACGTGAAATTTTGGACCACGAATACCGTCTCGTCTGCACATGCGAGTAGCCTCCATTTCCTGGGTTTCGTTACTACACACCCCATGCCAAATACACTCGCAAACGATTACATGTACCAGATCCGTCCAAGAGCGCAAGTGGTCAGAACACTACAATTTCCTGCGCGAATGAGTCCAAAGCTGTGACAAGGTAGTCGGGGAGCTCTGGGGCATTGACGTGGAGCAAGTCGTCTTCAATGACGCTACTCAGTCGGCGCTGTCTATATGTATCAGGCGTTATCCTGACAACAGCGACGTCATCAGCACCCTAGTGGACTACGTGGGGAAGTTAGGAGCGCAAATGAGCTCATTGGTGCACACGATGAATTCTGCTCAGTAGAGTTCACGCTCAACAAGCACGTCGCAACCTCATAGTTACATGAAGTCGAAATCTTTTCCGAAATTTGTGAACATTGTGCAGGCTCTGCGTTGTTCCCAAACGCTACTACACCAATGGCAGAGCTTCAGGCATGAACTTCGGAGACGTGCGTAAAGCTATACTCGACGCCGGCTTTGACCCCAACGCACGCTGTCATTCCCCACTTTATAAGTCTCAGAATTCCAGTCTTCTGGAAGCACTATCCGGTATCGAAGTGTCATTCATCGCTCTCACTGTTCGCGACAACTTCCAGCTTCACGAGGGAGTGAACGACTTCACCTGCCTGCAAACCATTAACATCCACCATCTTGCTGCACATATGCTTGGGTCGCATCTAAAATTAGGATCGGCCTTGATAGCAGTGTATCAAGCACTGTTTGGTCTGGAAGATATCGAAGCACACAAGGCCCCGTGCGACACAATCATGATGCTAGATCTTATACGCGTGGTGGCCGCATGCGGACATACGCAAAATTAAGCATCAAAGGCACTGCTCTATATACCTAGCTCAGATATTGATCACTGCGAAGTTTCTCGTGGTGCCCTCATACTGATGTAGCACCCTTCCTTCTTCGACAACGCGAAAACACTGTTGTGTACAATGGCGGCAGCCATACAGCATGAAATAGCCTGGTGATATACAACACAACTTGCTATTGCACTCGAAATCCAACAATTCCACGTATACCTTCAGGCTATTAGTTCGTCAACTAGATTCTATTCACCTTCCTTCACGGTGAGAGCCTGCAAAACATAGCACAGTAACGTTTTGGCATTATCTAGTGTACGTGACTCAAGATGAAGCAGCTAAAGCTCCATGTTATATCTGAGGTTTTACCCAACAAGTAGCAGTTCATCGCATAGCCTGAATGTGTACGCAGAGCCTTTACGTCACAGTCAAAGCCCTGCAAGACTTTGTATAGCTTCAGGATACTCAATTCCACTGTTAGATTTGTACCAGGGACCACGTCCTGATCGAACCATGTCAAAACATGGGCTGCAATGTATATGTGGACATAACATCGAGAACTGCGCCAGACATCAGAAACGCAACATGGCTGACCTCGGTAAATACTGCCAATATGCAAGCAGTGATTAGGTGCAACAGCCTCCAGAAATTCCTTTTGGACGTCTATTGTCGGTTTTGCCCGAATGTCCAATCGAAGCGTAGGCACTCGCTGTCAAACCTCTTTGACAAGATCAAATTGATCATGTCAAGTTAAAGATCGGATATAGCCATGTCTTGTCCAGTAGCTAACTCCAAGGGGAAAGTGAGTCGTGGCAGGCAGGAAGCCGGAGCACATCTCGTGGGCGAATCATAATGAACGCCCAAAGGAACCGCTACAGAAGCCGTAATTCTGTATTAACAATGACACGGAAAGAAGAATTCCAGTGGCTGAGCGCCGCGAAGTGGCTCATGAAATTCCTGTCGCTGAATTGCAGCTGCATGAGAGCAGAATGTCTCTTATCATGCCTCTTGTTGACCACCTGGGCTTTGTCCATGTAGCCGAGTCCTGAAAGCGCCCAGAGTCCCCCAGCATGCCCTTTGGTGAGTCTCTTTTGCATCGCCACACTGTGGTCGCCAGCTTCTGACCAAATTGTCCTGGATGCTGCCTTCTTACTCACATTAGCTTCTACGAACCCTTACGAACAGACAACGACGTTATAGTCTCAGGCTGGATTGTAACGCGCCGATGTGGAAGAGTTGTTCAGATACAAATTGGACATGCCGTGGCCCTGAGAAAAGGCTTATTGGCGAGAAATCGCCCAGGTGTCGCAATAATCTACATACACTCTGTTTAGGTTCAATGTATTATCAGAGAGGAACCGTGATATGATATGGGAGCCTAAACAACCCCACTAGTTTGTCAACATTTCGCGATTGTCTAGAAAGGCGTTGAAGTTATACAGCTCGGTCTCTGGCAAGAACATCGAAGCGTAATTTATCGTAATGTCAAACCCATGGCATTCATAATTAGACTACTGTGATGCTCATATTCTCCGACCTCTTGGTCTTCCATGGCAACTTTCGCTGCGGTCATCATATCAAAATGGTTCCTAAGTATGCGCTTTGACGATGATCTTTCCATGCTCACACTTCAGCGTGATCTCCTCGCCGAAGGTGTAGTACTTGTACTCGTCCTTTGCTGGAGCAGGTGCTGGGGCTGGGGCAGGCGCTGGGGCAGGCGCTGGGGCAGGCACTGGGGCAGGCGCTGGGGCAGGCACTGGGTGCTCCTCTTTCTTGGGTCCTTCTGGCTTAGAAGCGGGGGCAGGCGCTGGGGCAGGCACCGGATGCTCCTCTTTCTTGGGTCCTTCTGTCTTAGGAGCGGGGGCAGGCGCTGGGACAGGCACCGGATGCTCCTCTTTCTTGGGTCCTTCTGGCTTAGGAGCGGGGGCAGGCGCTGGGGCAGGCACTGGGTGCTCCTCTTTCTTGGGTCCTTCTGGCTTAGGAGCGGGAGCCGGTGCTGGGGCAGGCGCTGGGATAGGCGCCGGTGCAGGATGAGTTTTCTCATCCTTGGGCGGCTCGGGATGTGTTTTCTCATCCTTAGGCGGCTTAGGATGAGTTTTGTCGTCCTTAGGCGGCTCAGGATGTGGTTTCTCATCCTTAGGCGACTCGGGATGTGGTTTCTCATCCTTAGGCGACTCGGGATGTGTTTTGTCATCCTTAGGCGGCTCAGGATGTGGTTTCTCATCCTTAGGCGGCTTAGGAGGAGTTTTATCGTCCTTAGGAGGCTTATCATCCTTCGGAGGCTCAGGGTAAGGCTTGCTATCTTTGGGAGGCTCAGCATGCGGTTTGTCATGCTTAGGTTCTACACCTAAGTCAGTAACATGAACAAATACTAAAGTCTACTCTATAGAGTGGAGATATAGGCATACCTGGTGGTGTGCAGATTAGCTTGGGGTCGTGCTTGTCACGAGTGTCACAGCACTTGTTGTACTCCTCCATAGCCTTGACGTCTTCCGTGCGAGCTACAATAGGCTTTGAAGCCACTGTAGCCGCAAGGATTGCGACCAATGCCGCTTGAGAGAACCGCATGTTGGCGTGTGGTGAAGTTGTGTATAACGAGAGATGATTGAAGCGATCGAGTGTTGGTATGAACGACGGACGAAGAGCGATAGACGGTTCAGGTTGTGAAGCGACGAAGCCTGGCACAAAACTGATACTTGGATGATCCAGAACGGTCGCTGGTCTTTATACTCGCATGCTCATACAAACCATCCGTACAGCGGCGCAGAAAACATCCTAATTACGAAATATTTGCGCCATCTCCCATGTCGACTATCGAAATCTCGTTTTAGAGCAGTCTTAAAATCCTAGTTTCCAGTGTCTCATTACCGCGTAGCTAGCGTAGGCGTCATGAGAACTTTCAGCCTGGATTGAAGATCACAATACGAACGTGGCAAACGTCATGAATGGGCCGGAAGCTGGGAGTGTGCCGTAGGAAGCTTCTCCTCGATGGAGCGGACGTTGTAGGCGCATGCAGTAGAGTATTGCCTAGACTCTCTGTAGCTCGTAGCATTTCGTCGGTCCACCTCGTGATGAGTCTTTAAGGTACGTAACATCGGCTTTGCGCAAGGTCGGTGGACGTTAGCTAATGGGCGCATGAAATGGCGCTCGTGTTGTTGCTACCGGCGAACTCGGGCAGTTGGAAAGTAATCACGATTGAAGCGTCGATTATTCTAGACGCGATTGCGGAGGCCTAGACACCAGACGAAGCGGTACAGGCACGCTGATCGGATGGTTCGAACTAGAATCAAGCTTTCGAAGATCGTCAGACGTTGAGAGGGCAAGCGGCTGTTTCCCCAGACGCGATGTAGACGCGATGCGGGGAGGCGCCTTGGCAGTTTGCCCGATGCCGACCCAAACTCCGTCTGCCACACTGCGGAAGCTGTTCCTGGTGGACAACTTTCCAAGGTCCTGGATCCTGGAATGATTTTGCCAAGGCAGAGGCGCATGGCCGCTATCGAAAATGTCTTGGATCGTCTACTATGAGTAAACTCCAGTGAGTCGGCTACGATTGTGAGTGAATCTAAGTTGTTGGTGACGATGCGGGATGTATTATGAGCTTGAAAGCAACGGTATCCTAGTTGAAACTACAACAACGACCTAATGTAGTCCAAGGTATTCTTGTCGAAGAGTCTGGTTCATCCAGTTCGATGGCTGTGAAAATGCAGGACACCAAAGCCGGCTATTCACGCCAAGACGATGGCTCATCTTGGCATTCAACCCATGACCGCTGCATCTGGCACTGGTCGAAAGTCTGCCAGCCAAAAATAGCTCTTGCGTATGACGATAATTTCGGAATCCTGTGTTACGACTGGCCAAAGGCTGAACCGCGGAATATAGATTGCGAGCAGAGATCATTCCTTTCTCGTAGTCTCTGGACCAAATGCGAAAGTGTGCACTTGCGTGAGTGAAGACGGCTTCCGGATAACGTTGCGATTGGATCTTGAGTAACGTCGATGGTGATCACATCGTTAACATGACCATATGAGTAGCATAACCAAAATATCCCCTGCCGCTCACCATGCTACACAACTTACCTTGCTGCTATCAAAGCATATTTGTCAGAATAGGCTTTGGTCTGCCAAGGTGTTCGTTCCGGCTCATATCAACCAACATATAGCTTGTCAGAGTTGGGTAAGTACGCTCGACCGAAGATGTTCCGACTTGCAAGCCAAGCAGAGCCATGTGCATATACAAGACCTCAAGGCTCGTATTCTCCACCAAACCTTCGCGATTCGTCAAGACTTGGCATGCTTTCGCTGCAGCTTAGCAGTGACAAGGGAAATGTCAAGTTTGTAGCAGCAGGCAGCCTCCCCTTCTAGTCGCCCAACGGCGAACGAAGTACTCACAAGTTCTCGATGCAATTGTGGAACTCCGATTACTTCCCCACAAATATGATGGCTTGCAATAGGATGACGCGATTCGCATCTTTGCGTTCGACGTTGATCTGAACCGTCTTTACGTCCTGCCTTCAGGTCCCCAATACTCTGGAAGTCGCTTTGCAGGAACATCCGATCGGCAATGTGTTACGAGGTTGGTGAATGCGAAGTATCAATCTTCTTAATTTCCCTTCGCCGCTGTGTAAGTCACCTCAGACTGGCGTACTTAGAGGCCACTCAAGCGCGCACATCCTGGGTCAATCAGCGCGGAAAAGCAGCGCGCGCAGGGCTGCATTAGTTGCATCGGATGATGGCAGAGTCTTCAAGGTCTTGAAGCATTCCTACCCTACTCTTTCTGTGTCCACATTTGAAGACGTTCTTCCTTGATTGACAAGCCGCTGCAGCGCCCAACTCAACATGCCTGCGGCCATCGGATAGTTCACGTCAGCCCGCGGCTCGCAGCATACCGCACCTGCCAGGCCTCAAGGTCTTCAAACATATCCGGGTTTTCCTCTTGGTACGCAGTCGTAGTGCTGCAGATTAACAACTGGGACGTCCCATAGCCTGGATGTATACACAGTGCCACCGGATTTCGAATGTGACGAGACGCCGTGTGTATAGCTTCAGGTCATTGAATCCGCTGTGGGCTTTTGTATCCTGGTCGCTTTCCGTCGTAGGTAAGGACCTGTGGTAGACGTTGTCTTGCGCTACCCGGGCGCTCTTAAGACGCGTCGCGTCATCTTCGACTACGCGTCCAAGGTTGAATGGAGGACGAAAGCATAATTGAGGTACAAGTATACATTCCTATGCTCTCGAAACGAGAAGCAAGTCTCGTCGTCGATACCCTGCCGCAAAATGGATACCGAGTTTCTGGAGGATTTGGGGCTGGGTCACGCGACGCTATGCATTGACCGGATTTCACGATGACGTAGGTCCGTGCCGCGGTAGCTCAAACACGCTCCTGCGCCCCGCTCCACTGAACAAAACCCAGGCAGCCGTCTCTTCTACAACAACACTCTGATCATCCCTCCCAAATCGGCCCTTTCAGACAGTAAACTTCCAAAACACCGCCAATATGTTCAACTTCGTCGTTGCAGCTCTCCTTCAGCTCTCCTTCTTCATGCTTGCCGAGGCAGCTCCTGTCTCGGCTATGAGCGCGAAGCCATGGCAAGCAGGTACCGGTGGCGGTATCGTTGGATTCATCGTCCTGGTTCTCGACATCATTGCTTGGAGTAAGTCTATGCTGCTCTTTCCCGTTTATAGCTGCCCGTTTGGGAAGTTTGTTTGTTTTGAGGCTGAAGCTGACGCGCTACACCACAGTTGAGATCTTCAAGTCGAACCGCCCCGTCCCCAACAAGGTCCTCTGGGCTCTTGTTGTCTTCCTTTTCCCCGTTGTCGGCATGCTCATCTATTACCTCTTCTCCAACCGCCAGGCTCACAACACCTATGAGCCAATCCCCAACGTCTAAGCCGATAACAACCGGTGAGCTCATCGAGCGGCTAGTGATTAGGGGAATCGTCGGGAAGATCGTCAACTCTTGATATGATAACGTCGATCTGGAAATGGGAGCTGCTTCCGAATTAAACCAGAGTTGCGATCACGCACTTTCTGATTGATGCAGGAGAAGCGGTTGATCCGTTTGGTAGGCGGGTAGTCGTTTAAATGTCCATGTCATTTTGATACCACGAATATTTTCTCTCGTCAATATAAAGAATACTTCTTCTCGACAATGTAAAGAACAATTCTCCTCGTCATTGTAAAGACTTCTCAGCCCACATTCGTATCATCCTGAGGTCGCCCTGAGTGCAATGCCCTAGTCGGTGCTGCGCCTTGGCAGCTGCACATGCTGCTCTTTACGTTTGCTCTCAAGGGCTCGCACCCAACAAACAAAATACTTGCAGAGCCGACCTTTGCCGTCTGACATTCCACCACCAATCCGCATTCTCGCGTCAGTTGCTCCCACATCAGGCATGGCCGAAAGCACCAAGGAACCCGGTCGACGGAGCCGGGACACAATGTTGAGCAAGCGCCTGCAGCGAGTGTTCGGCGGCTACAAGGAACTAATTCAATACGAACACGTGCTCCAGTCAGCCGAGCCTTAGCATTTTAACCTGTAGCACGAATGACCGGACTCCAGGACCCGTCTCGAAATATGTGTCACACGATAAAGCGACAGCTGACATCCAGAAACAACGTGAGGCGTTTGTGCAGAAACACCAAGAGCTTGAAAAGTCTAAAAAGAACCTGGAAGACGAGGAGTAGTATGTTTAATAAGCGCGTCAGTGGATAAGTCTGCTCACGATGTCACAGCAATTTCCGCGTGCAGACCACCATGCTCGCTATAGAGCTCACTGCACATTCAAAGTCCGCTTGCTTAGAGCTTGCTACGGAATTCTATGCGATCATGCCGCGCGAAGTACGAGATTTAGTCTACTCCTACCTTTATCGGTCTGTCGATAGTCCGCAGGACAAACGCAGTAAGGATAAGATGGAACCAGGGCCCGACCACCTCCGCCGATCGATTCCGCATTGGCAATCGAAAGAATATGTGGGGCACGAATTCGCTCGCGAGTATACCGAGTTCTTCTACGAGCACACACAATTGCAGTTCAAGGCGCATTGGTGCTGCATGGAGGCTCTTGACGACCTACTCCTCCGCGATCCATTTGGCTACGGAATCACCCCAGTTGACCTCATTCGCGCCATCTACATCACTTTCCGGGGACCTCGTCGTAAGGTGACGGAGAACGTCTTCGAAAGCTTCAGAGACCAGTCCAAGGTGTTGCTCAAGCTGAAACAAAGTACACAAGTCACTTTCAGGATCCAGCTCGAAACCATGTTTGTGGATGAGACTGTAGAGCTAGATTTTCTCCTCAAAGTTTTGAAGCTTCTGGCCCCCCATGCTATACAACTTCAAGAAGCACGGTCGAAGCTTCGACGTTTTCATCGTCTTCGATAGCCATGTGTCAACAAAACTAGCGCGAAATATCAAGTTTCTGTGGGACATGACACAAGGAAATCTAATCGCAAAGATTAAAAGCTGGAGCACTTCGTATGGTAAGCTGCAGATCACCATTCATCCACGACAAGTGTTACACGCGACTAATCAGTTGTCCAATCTAGCCAACTTGCCAGAGGACAGCTTTGTATTTGGATGCAAACTAAAAGATGTCCCGCTTAAGAAGAAATCAGATTACTTCTTGTTGAAGTGGATGCTGAACGAGCCTGAGGAAGAAGAGATGGGTCAAGACTACTCCAGGATTGTATGAGCACCTTGACCATTCCTTTGAGCCTTCAGAAGCAGCTGATTTTTTAAGAGTTATGGAGGCAAGACATGTTTCTTGTCATGATCTATACGGGACCGGCCCCGTTCAGCTTCCAGTGCGACTACTGCATCTCTGATAGCTGCGAGAATTTGGCCTGCGCGATAGCTTTTTGCTCTTAAGCAATGACTGACAGATCGTCTCACTAGATGCACAGAACAGAAAAAGTTCAAGGTTCTGGGACAATCGGGCACAATCTCACTTTCACTCAAACCATACTTTAAGAAGAAACTTGCCCACCCAGCCAGTCTTTACAAGTGCTATACATCTTGTCAAAATCATTGTTATCACTCGAATCGTTCATTTGTACATTCATGCTAACATATCTCGAGCTTGTTTGCCAAGTCGCGAAGGGCAAGTGCGTCGGTGAAGGCCATGTGCACGTGACTGCGCGGCATCGGCACCTACAAGCGCAGGATCGCTAGTTGCGGCTCGTGTAGAGGATCCACTCAAACTCTATAAGTTATACTTACCTTTCAGCCACCAAATTCGCTTGATCCGACTGCGAAAGTCTGCGCCGGTAAGCCATTGAATCTAACAGTCAAGGTTTACCATAGAGCTAACATTAATAGTAGAATAGCTCGCTACCAGCTGTTGAGAATGGTGGCCGCCAAATTTCGGTGGCATTAAGGCTTATAATGAGGACATGATTATCGACTATGAGACTGATGCGAGCGGTGAGCTTAGTGAAATGGTGATCGCGTTTCGCGACTCTGGGCGGTAAGTTTTACTCCAGGCACGACTCTCGTTGTACTAACAGCAAACAGCCAAGATAAGGAGCGTCATGAGAATCGCCTCGTTGCCTTTGCACCAAAGTGTTTGAACTTCCGCAATAAAGTTCTATGCCGCTGTCCCCCGCGAGGTGCGAGTTATAGTGTACTCGTACCTACACGTACCGATTCACAAGCCCAAAATACTAGTGCAAATTCGCTGCGGTTTTCAATTGAATTCGGATAGGAGGAGGACTTTCCGGCCAGTCGCCAACCCGTACGCTTCGCTGAAGGAGAGTGTTGCCCGTTCATTGCTGCGTTGGTTTGAGATTGAGAAAGGCGAGTGACACGTCGAGGGATAGGTCCATATCAGCGAGACTTCTGAGGCGACTGGCTTGTTATCTGGAACTTGGTTTTGCTGCAGCTCTGGGTTGACAGGGCTGTTACTCTGAACCTGTTGGTGTAAGACTTTCGGGCTCCGGGGTCTGTCGATTTGGGGGTGTTCGCGCGAGGGTGAGTCTGACTGCGCCATTCTGTCCAAAGCTAATATTCAAATATATTGGAAGCGAATGATGTGAAGTAGGACAACGTGTTTGTAACTCGAGGTGTGATACGCTGCAGTGTGCTGCGAACAAACAGAAGTGATGAATCTTGGCGAAGCAAACAAGAATAGTAAGAACGTACCAACGCATTTGTGCGGGCAGTGATCATGTAACTCAACGCGCCGGCACACAGATAGTGACTGGTTTTCGCCGCCTTTTCCTATGACAAGTTGGACAGATGTGGTGTGTACTATGACCTTTACTCATCTCAGAGCTGAACATACACAATGCCTTTCCTCACAGCCTATATAATCACTTCAATCCCCATCAGCAATTCATCAGAACACTTGGTTCAGTGCTAAGACGCTCGCAGAGCAAAGCGGCTCGGTAGCGGATCCGGTCCAGGTACTTGATCGTACCTGGGGTGAAGTAGGTTTTGGCGTTCTGCTGACTCTCGAAAAGCACCCGGACTCCTCTTGCCGAGAAGGTCTGTAGCAGACCGCCGTCTTGGAGCTTATGCACCGGCGAGAAACCCGCGTTCGATTCGCGGAGTGTTCAGTATTTTTTGGCGTTGGTGCTTCGTTTTTGCGAGGCGTTGCTGATCGAAGGCACTTCATCCGCGCGAGGTGTCAGAGGCGATGGTATTTAGCGGGAATCAGTCATCAGAATCCTCCTCCTTGATTTCTTTCTTGACTCTTGTCCTGGTCGCTCTTTTTGGATTACGTCTAGCCTCACCTTCAGACTCTGACTTGGCGTTAACTTCATCCTCCACCTCCTCAACCTTCACGTCATCTCCCTCCACCTTCTCCTCCTCCTCCTTCTTCATCTTCTTCAATTTCTTCATCTCCCTATCCCATTCCTTCTGCTCCTTCAAAAACCTCTCCTTCCCCTCCATATACCCCCCACACGCCTTCGCCCTCTCCCAAACCCCCCTAAAAATCAAACTACACTCCTCCTTCTCCCTCTCCTTCTCCCCCATTTCACACTTTTCCAACTCCACCTTCCTCTTCCCTCCACCCTCCCCATCCCCATCAACCCTATACTTCCTCCCCCCCTTATGATTAGCATACCTCTTCGCGCGCGTCATCCCCATCTGCAAAAACTTCCTGCTCATATCCATGCCAATGAAGTCATTCTCGCGCTCATACTGCAGAAACTTGGCGAAGATGGCGCGCGAGGATTCACGGGCGATAGCGGGCGTGCGGAAGCGCCAGAGCGGCAGGATTTCGGATTTGTAGGGCTCGAAGGTTAGGACGAGGGTTTCGCCGCGGCCGATGCGGTAGGTCATGCGTTGGGGCTTGGTGAGGGGGCGGGTGAAGGCGGACATTTCTGGAGGGGGGGTTGAGTCGTTCATGGCTGTTATGGGGGTAAGTTGGAGCGGTCTTGTGTGTTGTGGTGTAGATTGAGGTTTGTCGTTGCGATGACGTAGTGCATGTTGGAACGCGACGCGTGGTCACGTTGCTTGTGAACCGAGGCATGCTGGTGGGAATCACAAAGTGGACTCTGGTATTGCTCGCAATCTGAGCAAATGGGTTAGGAAAGTGGATGATGTCTTTTGCTTTGCTCTGCTTTTGATT